AATTAAAGTCCTTTCAAAACCCTACATTTCAAAACCCTACATTTTCGACTACATGGACGACTCTCTACTCACAGCAGAAGCGGAGATATCGACGGAGGAAGGCTGGATATCGACGGAGAAAGGCTGGAAAACTTTAAACTTCGATATCTCCTAAACGGTTAGAGATACAGGCCTGGTTCTGGCACCAAATTAAAGTCCTCTCAAAACCCTACATTTTGCCGTAAGTGGCGACTCTCTACTCCCAGTAGAAGCGGAGATATCAACGCAGAAAGGTTGGAAAACTTTAACCTTCGATATCTCCTAAACGGTTAGAGATACAGGCCTGGTTCTGGCACCAAATTAAAGTCCTCTCAAAACCCTACATTTCAAAACCCTACATTTTCGACTACATGGACGACTCTCTACTCCCAGCAGAAGCGGAGATATCGACGGAGGAAGGCTGGATATCGACGGAGAAAGGCTGGAAAACTTTAAACTTCGATATCTCCTAAACGGTTAGAGATACAGGCCTGGTTCTGGCACCAAATTAAAGTCCTCTCAAAACCCTACATTTTGCCGTAAGTGGCGACTCTCTACTCCCAGTAGAAGCGGAGATATCAATGCAGAAAGGTTGGAAAACTTTAACCTTCGATATCTCCTAAACGGTTAGAGATACAGGCCTGGTTCTGGCACCAAATTAAAGTCCTTTCAAAACCCTACATTTCAAAACCCTACATTTTCGACTACATGGACGACTCTCTACTCCCAGCAGAAGCGGAGATATCGACGGAGGAAGGCTGGATATCGACGGAGAAAGGCTGGAAAACTTTAAACTTCGATATCTCCTAAACGGTTAGAGATACAGGCCTGGTTCTGGCACCAAATTAAAGTCCTCTCAAAACCCTACATTTTGCCGTAAGTGGCGACTCTCTACTCCCAGTAGAAGCGGAGATATCAACGCAGAAAGGTTGGAAAACTTTAACCTTCGATATCTCCTAAACGGTTAGAGATACAGGCCTGGTTCTGGCACCAAATTAAAGTCCTTTCAAAACCTACATTTCAAAACCCTACATTTTCGACTACATGGACGACTCTCTACTCCCAGCAGAAGCGGAAATATCGGCGGAGGAAGGCTGGATATCGACGGAGAAAGGCTGGAAAACTTTAAACTTCGATATCTCCTAAACGGTTAGAGATACAGGCCTGGTTCTGGCACCAAATTAAAGTCCTCTCAAAACCCTACATTTTGCCGTAAGTGGCGACTCTCTACTCCCAGTAGAAGCGGAGATATCAACGCAGAAAGGTTGGAAAACTTTAACCTTCGATATCTCCTAAACGGTTAGAGATACAGGCCTGGTTCTGGCACCAAATTAAAGTCCTTTCAAAACCCTACATTTCAAAACCCTACATTTTCGACTACATGGACGACTCTCTACTCCCAGTAGAAGCGGAGATATCGACGGAGGAAGGCTGGATATCGACGGAGAAAGACTGGAAAACTTTAAACTTCGATATCTCCTAAACGGTTAGAGATACAGGCCTGGTTCTAGCACCAAATTAAAGTCATCCCAAAACCCTACATTTTGCCGTAAGTGGCGACTCTCTGCTCCCAGTAGAAGCGGAGATATCAACGCAGAAAGGTTGGAAAACTTTAACCTTCGATATCTCCTAAACGGTTAGAGATACAGGCCTGGTTCTGGCACCAAATTAAAGTCCTTTCAAAACCCTACATTTTCGACTACATGGACGAATCTCTACTCCCAGTAGAAGCGTAGATATCGGCAGAGGAAGGCTGGATATCGACGGAGAAAGGCTGGAAAACTTTAAACTTCGATATCTCCTAAACGGTTAGAGATACAGGCCTGGTTCTGGCACCAAATTAAAGTCCTTTCAAAACCCTACATTTTCGACTACATGGACGAATCTCTACTCCCAGTAGAAGCGTAGATATCGGCAGAGGAAGGCTGGATATCGACGGAGAAAGGCTGGAAAACTTTAAACTTCGATATCTCCTAAACGGTTAGAGATACAGGCCTGGTTCTGGCACCAAATTAAAGTCCTCTCAAAACCCTACATTTTGCCGTAAGTGACGACTCTCTACTCCAGTAGAAGCGGAGATATCAACGGAGAAAGCTTGGAAAACTTTAACCTTCGATATCTCCTAAACGGTTAGAGATACAGGCCTGGTTCTGGCACCAAATTAAAGTCCTTTCAAAACCCTACATTTCAAAACCCTACATTTTCGACTACATGGACGACTCTCTACTCCCAGTAGAAGCGGAGATATCGGCAGAGGAAGGCTGGATATCGACGGAGAAAGGCTGGAAAACTTTAAACTTCGATATCTCCTAAACGGTTAGAGATACAGGCCTGGTTCTGGCACCAAATTAAAGTCCTCTCAAAACCCTACATTTTGCCGTAAGTGGCGACTCTCTACTCCCAGTAGAAGCGGAGATATCAACGCAGAAAGGTTGGAAAACTTTAACCTTCGATATCTCCTAAACGGTTAGAGATACAGGCCTGGTTCTGGCACCAAATTAAAGTCCTTTCAAAACCCTACATTTCAAAACCCTACATTTTCGACTACATGGACGACTCTCTACTCCCAGCAGAAGCGGAGATATCGACGGAGGAAGGCTGGATATCGACGGAGAAAGGCTGGAAAACTTTAAACTTCGATATCTCCTAAACGGTAGAGATACAGGCCTGGTTCTGGCACCAAATTAAAGTCCTCTCAAAACCCTACATTTTGCCGTAAGTGGCGACTCTCTACTCCCAGTAGAAGCGGAGATATCAACGCAGAAAGGTTGGAAAACTTTAACCTTCGATATCTCCTAAACGGTTAGAGATACAGGCCTGGTTCTGGCACCAAATTAAAGTCCTTTCAAAACCCTACATTTCAAAACCCTACATTTTCGACTACATGGACGACTCTCTACTCCCAGCAGAAGCGGAGATATCGACGGAGGAAGGCTGGATATCGACGGAGAAAGGCTGGAAAACTTTAAACTTCGATATCTCCTAAACGGTTAGAGATACAGGCCTGGTTCTGGCACCAAATTAAAGTCCTCTCAAAACCCTACATTTTGCCGTAAGTGGCGACTCTCTACTCCCAGTAGAAGCGGAGATATCAACGCAGAAAGGTTGGAAAACTTAAACCTTCGATATCTCCTAAACGGTTAGAGATACAGGCCTGGTTCTGGCACCAAATTAAAGTCCTTTCAAAACCCTACATTTCAAAACCCTACATTTTCGACTACATGGACGTCTCTCTACTCCCAGCAGAGGCGGAGATATCGACGGAGGAAGGCTGGATATCGACGGAGAAAGGCTGGAAAACTTTAAACTTCGATATCTCCTAAACGGTTAGAGGTACAGGCCTGGTTCTGGCACCAAATTAAAGTCCTCTCAAAACCCTACATTTTGCCGTAAGTGGCGACTCTCTACTCCCAGTAGAAGCGGAGATATCAACGCAGAAAGGTTGGAAAACTTTAACCTTCGATATCTCCTAAACGGTTAGAGATACAGGCCTGGTTCTGGCACCAAATTAAAGTCCTTTCAAAACCCTACATTTCAAAACCCTACATTTTCGACTACATGGACGACTCTCTACTCCCAGCAGAAGCGGAGATATCGACGGAGGAAGGCTGGATATCGACGGAGAAAGGCTGGAAAACTTTAAACTTCGATATCTCCTAAACGGGTAGAGATACAGGCCTGGTTCTGGCACCAAATTAAAGTCCTCTCAAAACCCTACATTTTGCCGTAAGTGGCGACTCTCTACTCCCAGTAGAAGCGGAGATATCAACGCAGAAAGGTTGGAAAACTTTAACCTTCGATATCTCCTAAACGGTTAGACATACAGGCCTGTTTTTGCACCAAAATATGATGCTGTAAAAATCCTACAACCCACCATAACTTTCTAATCTCAACTCCCAGTAGAAGCGGAGATGTCAACGGTACGGATTGGAAAACTTTAATCTTCAGTATCTCCTAAACGGCTAGAGATACAGGCCTGTTGTTTGCTCCAAAATATAGTGCTTGAAAAACCCTACTTCCACCATAAATTTCGACTCTCGATTCCCAGTATAAGCGGAGATATTAACAGTATAAATTAATATAATGTAATTTATATATAAATAAGAAATGATGATATTGAAACTTATTAATTTTTAATTTTTTTGTATCTGCAGCCGATATATTATATATACTATTCCTATTGCACTTATTATCGCATCTCTTTCTTACCTTATCACTAACATTTATCGTTACATTTATTTATTATAACATTTTACATTATAAATATATAACCTAAGTACTCGCGGAAAAAATGCGGAACAACTGTAACGGTCACATGCACGGGACCTTTCGCGGGCACTATTTGCGCCTACTGTTTGTGCTTACATCCATGACTGGTAATGCTTGCGTCGAAATGCTCTGACGTCATGATCACGCGTACGCACAACAGTTCCCATATGAGAAAAATTCCCAAGACTTGTCACCACTGTCGCCGAGATAGATGAAGAGGCGTCGCAGCCGCTTAGGCCACAGCGCGACCTTGGCGATCGAGCAATTGCTGGCGGCGTGCGGGAGCCGTGAGAGTAGGAGCGACGAGATAAAACACGAATAGCAGGGCGTGTCTATCCCCTCGCCGCGGACCGAATATAGTTGGCAGCTGTGTCAAGCGTAGCTAGTACAGTCGGTATTATCATGGCTTTTCAATTACCTCCGAATCTTTTGGGGTATCGGGAATCTATCTTTTGTACTGCCCCTTGGGCAATACAAAAATTTACTCAGGGCTGACAATCTTTATATTGCCTCGTCGATGGTTTACGTCTTACGCCTGAACAACGCCGCCTTGACATACTTTTGTATCAACAATATAGATGGCGCTCGTACACACAGATCGTCTGAAGTCCCTAGATTTATTAAGTACCGCAATCCTCCGCCATTTTGGCTCCAACAACGCGGTACATTCAGAACGCAAAGATATGATGTACATAAAATATTTTGTACATAAAATAGAAAAATTGTTCATGATATTAAATAGTGTTTTTATTGATATTTTTTGGCCTTGTTAACATAAGACCTCATCGCAGCGCTTCTATTATTATGTACAGTTTGGTGTTGAACAGTCAAATTATCAGGTAAATAACTTACATTTATATACAGTATATAAAGTATTGAGCATCTATATGCTGCAAATAATTGCACATGTTGTCGGGTTGATTGTTGTTTTGTAATTAATTTTGTTATTTTAGTCTCCCAGTTAACCTACCATGTGCTGGTGAAGAAAAATTTGAAATTATATCTAATATATGAAATATAAAAATATATCTGTCATCTGCGGTGCAACGACTGATTGACTGATTACAAAGCAACAATCAACTTGACATGTGCAATTATTTGCAGCATATAGATGCTTAATGCTTTACTTTATATAAATATAAATTACTTATCTGATATTTGTTCCTTTACTTCTTTATATGTTCCTTGTTTCATGTTGTATAAACTTCATTCCATAGCTAACGATAATGGCACATTGATTCCGGTGCAAAGAATGATGCTGCATGAGTGATGCGCATCAAGGCTTACACTTTGGCAACTTTTCCTCACAGGAGATTATTCTCCAACTATAAATATTCTGCAAGCACATGGTATGCTGCGAAGCTGAAACAAGAAAATGAATTAAAGGAAAGAATCGACCCAACAATATCCACAGTCACAGACAGCACGTACATAATTAATCTTTTATTATATGTATACACACATATATATATATATATATGAATATTAACTACTTACTCTGATATTTCTTTATCGTCCATTTGTTTCTTCTGCTATTTTCCTTGTGTAAACTCCTCTTTAATCTTGCACAGACTTCATTCCATTGTTAACGATGTTGGCAGAATGACTCCACTACAAAGAATTATGCCATAAATATGATATTATGATGTATCGAAACTTAAACATTACAACTATACAATTACATTTAATAATAATCTATTAATTTATAAATATATATATTCACACATTCGTATAATTATTTTTTTACCTCATTTATCTCCATGCACTCCACGTTTCCCACCTATTTACGTCATTTTAATATATTTTTATTTTAATTTAATGCCACATTTTGTAATTTATATTAATATTTATGAAGCGAATTACAATTTTTCGATATTTATTGTTTACACGCACCCATATCTGTCAAAAAGGTTAGATAAATTGCACTTAATGTGTAGATACGTTATGAAAGTTGTTCTACGTACACTTTTTAACGCCATTTTGGCTCCAAATTTTTATACATTGGGTTTGTTTTCTATTGCTGAACTGGCTGTACTAACTTACGTATTAACTTACTTACTTGTTCTCTTCTTAGGTCATTATCACTATCAAAAACACCTGCAGAGTATGTGGCATTTACGTATAAATAGCCGAGGCAACGCAAAAAATTTATCTCTTGATCCAAGTTTGCCTTTATACAAAAAAAAAAAAGAGAGAAGAAAGAACACCAAATCCTTATTAATTTCAACGACGCGTTGTATATACAATTAGTACGATATGCCTTCTTCATAGCATATCAGAGTAACATACCGTTGTTTACACGCACCGGCGATATCAACAGAAAGATTATTGCACGTGTTAAACAATTTGTGTAAATTAGGCCATTGTTCGTAAGAACGATTGATCTACTTGTAACATGTTTACCGCTGCAGTTTCGAATGAAAAGTCTGTTCGCTACAGTTTCACGTGACTCGCGCGTTTTTCATCGAGGTACCTTGTTGCAACAGTCTAAGGATGAATTACTAAAAACGCTCGTCGGCGTTTTTGGTAAAGAGCATTGACGCAATTGCAAAAGAGAAAAGGGAAGGAAAAGCAAACATGATTCCGATATCAAAGTGCCAGACGAATGTACCAGCGAAGACCGAACAGCTATCTTATCTATCTACTTTCCGCTGCTGCTGCGACGATACACTGTGATACACTTGTGATAGATACTCGACGACGAATCCTGCAGATTAGATGTCACCGATTGCTTTCGCTGTGTGAGATGCGGTCGCACTCGTGAACTTCGGGCAAACAACTCGTCGTTTAACACCGCCGCGAAACAAATACGCTCGCGAGCACGATAATCACCGGTTCAAACAACACCGCGCGGTCAGCGCGGTTCCGCGCTTGTTCCGCGCCGGCAATTTCTGCAAATTTCTGATCTTCCTATTCGGTTTCACAACGATTGATCGTTAAAGATAGCGACCGCGAGCCGGCCTCGCAACGAAGATGATGAGTATCCTCTTATCGGAGCAATGTATCACGCGTGTCGATAAAAGAATATCATCGACGAGCTGACCTGCTAACATTCCGATCGCGGTCTGGACCTTTCAACGGTGATAAACGTTAACGTTAACGGCTCCGGTCGCGCGGTTGAGTCTGCCACGATCGTAGGCGCGAAGCATCGACGACGACCACGACGATATCATAATCGTCCAGAAGCGAAGATAAGATTTGCAACAGTCATCGCCATTACCGCGGCGCGCACCGCCGCGATCGCCGCTGCTGCTGCTGTCGTCGCCGCGACTGCAAAGAGTCCAACAGGGTCCGGGAGCGATGTGTCACTGAATTTTGAATCATTGTCCGCCGAGTGCGAACGGGCTTGTGTGCAGCACGCTTCTCTTCCTTCATTCATCGATTCGCCGGCGAACGGGAGACTCCGCGAGATGACGCAGAAAAGGGAAAATACGAAGCTCGTGAAGATCGAGCTGAAGAGGGAGCTGGGACTTTTCAGCGCGGTCAGCATTATCCTGGCGGTGATGATCGGTAGGACGCAATGTGTTCAACTTTACAATTTCATTTTGCGATAGCAAGCTGTAAGCCGTGAGTGCGACCCGTCCCAATCCCGTCTGAAAATCACATGACGTTTCGCGCTTCTACGCAATGTAGCATGCGATAAAAAGAGTCTTCAACGCACGCGCGCGCGCGCATTCTTGCTTCACCGTTGTTGACCGTTGTTGCAAATTCTCAGTCACGCCAGTCCGGTTGAAATTGAGAGTTGAGTGTGAGAGTAATCAAGATGCACGCGCGCGCGCAAAGCCGATGAGTTTCCGATACATCGAGAGACAAAGACTCAGCAGTGCTTGAGAGCATTTTTCTTTCGTTAATTATTATTATACATAATGCTGTGCGTATATGCCTGATGATATTCTCTTTATGTCTATCTATTGTTTTCTTTGTAATTGCTTGTAATTTGTGTCTATTTATGAATTTTTTTTTACGCTCTCGCGACTCTTGCTCGCAACTGCAGTCGAGCGTATAAACGGAATAGCGCGACAAAGAAAGCGCGGCATAAAGAAAGCGGGCACGTTGAAATCCTAGTGAAGATCCAGCGGTATAATTTTTGTACCACCGTTGTATCGTGCTATAAAAAGATATCGTGCGTCGTGCGTGTTTTGTTGCAAGTCGCGAAAATAATTTCTGTGTGTATTGTTTGGCGATGCAGCAGTACGAAAGAAAAATGAAGCACATTCAACCCGATATTTCCGAGTCACATATATATATATATATATACGTATAATCGTACACATTTGCGCTCGCTGATGAGAAGAGGGAACTCCGCGCAGAGAAAATCTTTATAAACCACGCGGTATAAATCAATGTGGTAAACTCTTCGGATACATCTAAGAGCTTCGTCGTGGAGATGATAATGCACGCAGTTTCCACTCAACCATGGAAAATCTTTCTGCAAAGAGTGGGGAAGTGAAAGGAATCGTCGGTGAATGCAATTTACATACTAACACCAAGTTACAGATATAGACGTCCGATTTTTCAAACCAAAGGTTACGTCTGAAGATTGTGTCGGGTATTTCTTTATTCCCTTCCGTTCGCTTGGAATTGGCCGCTGGTGTGTCTTAAAATTGCACGATCGAGAATCAACAACAAACAAAGTTATAACAGTTTGCTCCGGAAGTAATGAAAGGACAACAGGATATGATAGAATTGAGAAGCTTTAGCCAAGCGTCAATTTTCTATGCGATTCCTCCGCGCTCTGAAACAATGCTTTCCAGCTTGAGGCAGCGCGGTATTTTTAGCAGCGAGAAAAGTCACTGGCCGAATTTTTCCCAATCTCGTGCGGAATGAACGTGAAAGTGCTCTCTTGTACGAATTTTATTTTCACTCCGACCAGTTACGATCGTGAAAACGTGACGAAATGTACCGAAATGTCCGTATGTGTATGTCTGCGTATGACACACGAGAGTTACATATTGCACGCTCTCTGATAACGTAATCACAAAATACTACACAATCTATCGTTGAGTGTTTCTTTAAAGCGACACTGACATAATAATTAACAATGTGCCACAAATTAAGGAATTCGTTAGGCACTCTCCGACGGCTACGATCCGGCGGCCTTTAAGTACATACGATGAGCATATTCGAAGAGCAGTCGGTAGTAATTGCATAATTGTATGGGTCCAAATAAGACACCGCCTCACACATTGAAGCTTTTGTATTTTAATGATTGACCCGGCGGTATATCAAGAATATACTCCTCGTGATCTTAACTAGATACCGGGTGTCAAAGAAAGAAGTGAAAGAAAGCTCGAGAGTTCGATTGTGTCGGCGAGTCAGAGCATTGCGACTTCGAAATCAAATGCGATTTTCTCAAAATTCTAACAACAGATCCCCTTCGGAAGGGGATTTTTCAGTCTTTCAACAACACGTACCTTTTTGTCGACGACTTTTTGTCAAGCTTTTTTTTTTGTCAGCGGTTCATCGATACGGTTCATAATTTTCAGTCAGTTGTGGTCCGTGAGACGATTCTAAGAATTGCTCTTGCGAGAATAAAGAGATCGTTAACCGACCGACCATCTTGGATATCTCGCCAATTAATGTGACAATTTTATATGCGGTTAAAAATGCTGAGGAAGGTTAATAAAGGTTAATAATCGGTCACCCACGTGACATGAAACTACTAGTTGATCGCCGCACCCGATACCCGATACTCGATTAACCTGACTAACATGTATCTCTGGCTAACTAAATCCCAACATTGTTGCCCCCGCTCTCCAGGTTCTGGGATCTTCGTATCGCCAACCAGCGCCCTTGAGCGCTCCGGTTCCGTGGGATTTTGTCTGATCGTCTGGGTCAGCTGCGGTGTGCTGTCCCTATTGGGCGCGTTGGCCTTCGCCGAGCTGAGTACCGTAGTGCCGCGTTCCGGCGCAGAGTACGCATACTTCATCGAGGCCTTTGGGCCTCTGCACGCTTACGCCGGCCAGATACCGGCGTTCACATGCTCCTGGATCTACGTGATGCTGCTGCGACCGGCGGAAGTGGCGGTCATTATACTGACATTCGCGGAGTACAGCGTGCAGCCGTTCACCGGGTTCCTCGGTGACCTACCCCCCGGGTCCATGGCGACGCTGAAGAAGCTCATAGCGATCATGGCACTGGGCGTAATCACGTATATCAATCTCACTAGCGTGAAGCTCTATGTGAAGGTGCAGAACGTATTCACCATATGCAAAGTGTTCGCCTGCATAGTGGTGATAGCTGGTGGGATATGGTGGCTGAGTACCGGCCATACGCAGCTACTCGAGGATCCCTTCCGCGGCACCACCACGTCGATCGGCAACGTGGCATTGGCTTTCTACAGCGGTCTCTGGGCATACGACGGATGGACCTCGGCCTCGATCGTCACCGAGGAAATCAAGAAGCCTGAGATTAACATACGCAGGAGCATCCTCATCGCGGTGCCTACCATCACCGTTCTCTATGTGTCGATGAACTTGATGTACATGGCGGTGTTAACAACACCGGAGATGGTGAGCGCACCGGCGGTGGCTGTTCTATGGGCGAATCGGATTCTACCAGCTTGGATGGGCTTCCTGATACCGCTCGGCGTAGCGCTGTCAACTTTCGGATGCGCCCTTAGCGTGCAATTCGGTGTGTCAAGGCTCTGTTTCGTTGCGGGAAGAGAGGGCCACGTGCCGCGTGTCTTCAGTTACGTGCACATTAAGAAAATGACGCCGGCTGCGGCCGTGGGTTTTCAGGGCATGCTCACGTTCGTCTGTCTGCTGGTGGGCAACATAATCGAACTCATAGAGTTCGCCAGTTTCCTCACGTGGGTGTTCTACGGATTAGCGATGGTATCGCTGATAATCATGCGACGAACAAAACCTAACGCCCACAGACCGTATTCTGTGCCCATCGTGATACCTTGGCTGGTGCTATGCATCTCCATCTTCCTCGCGGTATTACCGATAGTCTATGAACCGTCGGTCAAGTATCTCTTTGCGCTCCTATTCATCCTATGTGGTATCGTCGTTTATCACATCTACGTGTACAAGAAGACCACAAGTACTTTAGCAGGTAGGTGAATGTAGGTTGAATGTAAAGATAAAACAAGCGCATCATTGCCGTGCAATTATGATGAGTATAATTTTACTTATCCACTATGAATGACATGAATTTTTACGTATGTTCTTTTTCAGCCAAATTAACATACTTCGTGCAAGCATTGTGCCTAGTCGTCGCGCCAGACAAAGGAGACTAATCAGATATTCACCATCGATGTACATAAGTAATAATGTTTGCTCATGTAATACTCGAAGATACTCGTTGTTCGAACTAGATATTTTGTCGTTCGCCAAGAAATCACACTGTGTGTGTGTGTGTGTGTTTTCTATAGTTATTTCCTTCATTACCCGAAATGTGCCTTGACGAACCTGAATCTTTATACGACAGGAGTGAGCAGAATTAACAATATTCCCTATGCTATGCTAAGAAAAATGCTTGCATAGATATTTATATATTTTCAGAATTAATTAAAGTGTTTTACACAAAGTGTATATCGATACAATTGATAGAATGTTCTCATACAAGATGTAAATGCTTAGGAAAATAACATTTTGTTATTATATTTGTTACGATAGTGCGCAATATTTTGTAATATCTATATTTACTTTATATATGAACATGTAGATATAATAAATATCGACGATAGAACATTAATTATAATATAATAAATTGTAATATATATAAAGTTTATATATACAATATCATACATTTATTATATCTAATAATATTTCATATCCAAAATGCTAAATGGCTTGTAAAAAGTAAAATCTTAGTCCGTACAACCTTTATGTTCTGTTTCTTTCGATACTTTTTTCAATTTATGCTTATACTTTTATAAGCTTAACGGTGAATTATTTCACGTGAGATTATTATAAATATCGAAAATTATGTAACAAAAATATCGTCCCATATATAAAAAGTTCACATATTAAATTAACTGACGCTACTTTCTTTCTTTGATATAAGAGCACTTCCGACATGTAAATTGTAAATATCATTATGTACAGAAGAAAGTCTATATAAGGCATGTAAATTTAGGAAAGATGCCGTTAGTAATATGCCGTGTAAATTATGAAAAAATGTTGCCAAATATGTTTCGTCGAAAGTTAAAATCCTAGAATAATAAAATTTTAACATAGCTTACTGTCTCACTGTAAAAAGTTATGCCAACATGATATTTAATATCTTATCTGTCCATAAAATATCACCTTTTTTTAGAATATCTTATATAACAAACATCTTTCTAGAAAATATGTCTTTTCATAATGTAACATCGTTTTATACATTGTAAATAATATATAACTGTAAGTAACTTTTATTCGATCTAATATCAGGTTTAATTTAAATTGTAAAATTATTATTAGGGGGATGCACCACATTTCGAACAGATCTGTCTTTCGCTGTAATACATAAAAAATATCTCTTATAAAAGGGAGATATTTACAATTATATCTCTTGTTATTTACCTCAGTATGCGATGAAGCTTTTTGCGGAATTCATTACACAGAGCTTTCTCAGATGCAAGTGCAGTATCGCGCTCCCTCAATTGCTGCCTCAAATGATATATCGTATCTTCTAATGCTTCAAATATTGCCTAAAATTAAGTAAAATATTCATAAAACAACACAAAGAATACACAATGATGTACAAACAAAATTGTCTGTATATATGAAACTCACTCTAGATTCCTCTGCTGTGTCAGATAATACAGGAGGTTCATCCAAACAAAAAAACTCCCTCACACACGAGACACCTATGAGGATGGGGCTACTTAATATACCGTTAACAAATGTCTGAAGTCCAAGTATTCTTTGTTCTAAAAAACTTGGCGCAAAATTGTCACCGAGCCATTTTTTCCTTGGTAATGACAGATGGGCAATAGGAAGTTTTTGCCTTCTTAATTGAGCTAATAATCGAACAAAGTCTGTGTATCTTCTAAACACGAACCAACAATCACCATTTTTCAATTCAACTCGAAGCTTGTAAACCTGCGTATCGAGGCAAGAGGAATCAAAGAAAGAGTTATAGGAAAAGAAATATCTACCTTCAAAATAATTTAAAGTGTATTCCGATATAAACTAATAATACGGCCATATAGAATCGATAATATATATAAAATTCACAAACCGTAAATCTAGCTCTCTCTTCCATAATTTCATAGCCGACAATAGGTATTCTCAAGTCTTCATTGGTGAGAGGTGATTGTAAAATATTTGAGTTGGCATTATTATCGTTAGGATAATCAAACTGTTGTATGGTAAATGAATTTGAGCGGCCGGATCCATCAGAGTCTGGACTATCGAGGACTCTCACTGTACCTGCTTGAGAACTTCTAGCTTTACTAATTGCAAGTGTTACCTCGCTAATACATCCCATACCAGTTTCTGAATTGGACATTTTAACTCCAACAAACTAAACAAAAAACCATGCACACTTAAAATGAGATAATAAGTTGAATTTTATTTCTTTTACCTAAATAAGTCAAAGTTTACCAAAATAAGTCACTAAATAAGTCAAACTCAATAGTCGTTAATCTTTTATGCAGAATTAAAATTATAAGATATAAGACATTATATTACAATATATTGCGAAGTTCGACAAGTAGTGTAAGTAATTAACTTATATGTATTAAATGCATTTAAAGCTTATCTAGAATTAAAAATTTACTCATCATAGATTGATATACGCGACACTTTTTGTATCAAACAGATTTTATACAATAATCAAAATTAAATTGTCCACCGTCATCTTAATGAGTCTAGGATAATTTGTTTTGCATACTAACCTCAGTTATTAATAGATATAAAGTATCCAATCAATGGTTATTGCACTTTTATTATTTTAACACAATCCATAATGCATACCACGATCGCTGTTCTTTAAAAAATACTATATACGCATCATGAAATCACATAATTAAAAAAACACCCTTGTGTTTACTTGACATATTGAAAGTTTGCAAATAATTCATAAAATGAATACGTCTGTTTATAGTTCCACTGTTTACACCTTCTGTACTTTCTCGCAATTTTTCTCTCTCCTTTTCACTCTTACCAAGCATCAAATATATCTACTTCGTTCAAAGTGTAACACAATGCAAAGGATACTTTCCAACAAAGAATATTCCATTGGTTACGTGCCATCTCAAGGATGATACGCAGCCAATGAAACGGCAGTATGCTCTTCTTGTTGGAAAGCATCCGAAATGAATAATGAAGGGTATCGATCACGAATCTTTTCGTCTAGTGTGAACTCGTGAAAAATGAATATGAAATATCATCCATATGCTTTTACATTAGATAATTTTCACTTTTCACGAGTTCACGTCACATATAGGACATAACCACCTATAATCATCCTAAATCAATCCTAAATTCGTTTTACAAAGTCATCCTAGATCAAATCCCAATTAAGTTCATTTTACAGAAGGCATCGATATCAATTATCTTTCCAGCTTCCCCTTTATTTAATTTTAGAAAAATCTCCCCCCCCCCCTTTATCTGATTTAGAAAAATCTTAAATTTTTCTCAATTTGGCTTGACGACGAAAGGACGATGCTATACGCAATACGAATGAATTTCGAAACATTCTACTCAGAGAATGCGCAAAGAAACTTCGCGTAATTACATTCACATATAAAACCCCTTCGTTTTTTTTCATCCGAAATATTTTTGAACCGCTGGACTAATAACTTTGCTTCAAGTTTTTCGATCTCTTTTAATACGATTTCGATCTCTTATAATACGATTTTCGATCTCTTATAATACGTGATCTTCTGGGAAGAAGATCTCGTATTATATGGAATTATCGGGATACGTGAATTGACCTTACCTAAACGCGGCCCGACCTTTCCAGCATTTACATGTGAAATCAGCCGAAACGGATTCTAGGCCAACATGCATATTTTCTTATCGAAGTGCGACGCATCGTGCTTTATTAAAAACAACGTAAGGTTAAGTTCGAGGGTCTCCGTCGACACACTTTGGTCACGACTGGGACTCTTTTGCGATGATCAATTAGGTGTATGCTTGGCGACTTCCGGCGTATGACGAGACGTGCGACCTGTGGACTTTGTCATGTAATACGATACGACCCGTTGATACGCTCACATTTATAATGTACATTACGTACCCAGAGAGAAATGGGAAATCGAATAGACGTCGATTCGACGTCTTTTAAACCAGCGGCACACGGTGCTTGTTTTCATGCTGGATTGCTTGCTGGATGGAAATACTGCGTTCTGATTGGTGCATTTCCGAAGATGGATGGAAATGCACCAATCAGAACGCAGTATTTTCATCCAGCAAGCAATCCAGCACAAAAACAAGCACCGTGTGCCGCTGGCTTTAGACGTCATCGACGGCTAATCGATGTCGATTCGATGTCTATTCGACTCTTATTTCTTCCTGGGTATGTACATTATCCGTTCATTTTCAAATAAACTCATATTGGTCTGTTCCTTGTAGCTGCACTGCTGAACTAGTGCAATAAGCTAGAGTGAGAAAACCTATATTTGTCTCACTTTAACTTATCGCACCAGTTCAACAGTGCAGCTACAATTAAAGAACAGACCACATGACTCGGAATAACCCATGACAGTTTCACCGTTTTCCCATATAAAAAAACGTTCGTCGAGCTTGGCCGTGTCCCGAAAATTCACTACCAGCGCTGAAAAGTTATAGTTTACGTGGCACAAACTATATATATTTTCAGTACCTGGCAGTGGTAATTTTGGAACACGGCCCTAGTCGCGATATCATCAGTTGTCGATTAGTTCGATTAGTATCGAGTGATGAACTTTACGGCAACGATTTACTTGGAGTAATATCACGGAGTTGCATCAGGAAGCGAAAACACCTCTTTGTGCTATCGCGTATAACGAAAGTGTGTGGTGCGCGTACCACACATAATTAATGCACACCGTAAACGGTTCGATTAATATAACGCAGCGGACGGTATATATACGCGTATAATCCATTTACCGATACGGTGGGTAACAGCATATCGGCTGTGAATACTCCCGCGGTGAGAAAAAAGGGAGGGGAAGCATTCGCTTACTTTAAAAATAAGACAGCTAGGAGGTTTTCAGACTTTCAGACAAAGCGAGGATAATGTGCCGGGTACTGAAGAGATTTAGGAGATATCAAAAATGGTTGACACAGAGTCCGCTTGCTAACGATGCATATACATGTTTGTTCTCATTCTTGATTCTTAAGAAAATGTGTTATACTTGGATTTCAAAATTCGCTTATATCGATGTCAAGATCTCCCGGCGATCGTTCGCCATGAGTTCACCCGGACGAACTGTTACTTGCCGATCGTTATCGGCGTGCAGCAATCAACGATCATGCTGGATCATGCACGACGCATCGTGCTTTATTAAAAAAAACGTAAGGTTAAGTTCGAGGGTCTCCGTCGACACAACCTGGGACTCTTTCGCGATGATCAATCAGGTGTTAATTGCCGGTAATGTACAAGTATCGATTTCATCGTGATCTCAAAAGCCGCGCGCGCGAACCATGCACGCGCATTCGCAGTCGGTCGAGCGCATGCAAGCACCGTCGCATGCGGGAAAGCAGTTTCTCTCAGAGTTTATATCAGATGTGCCGACGCACATTTTTGGCTTCTGTTTTATACGCGAACAATGGGGGTTTCTGTATGTCAACGGGACTTTTATGCGGTCGCGTGAGAGGTCAGTGAGATATATATTACTACTGATATCAACAACGTTGTGATAATAATGGAGCTATTGTTTCGTAGCTATAATTCTCTAGTATCAATATTATTCGCTGAGTACGCATCCGTACATGCTGCATACATATGTATGCATGTATGTTTGAATGTATTCTATCGATGTTGTACCATTGTGTGTTATTTTTCAACAATATTTAACGCATTTTTTTTTTATTTTTATAAGAAATTGCGAAAAATATAGTTAGATACAAAGAGCTAAGTGAAGGAACATCAACTTTTATTAGAGTTCTGTCAGATGTAATTCTTCTACACTTTGCATCGTTTAAGACGATAAGAAATTTGGTACGTTTAAATTTCGCGGCTTAACCAATACATCGGCTGCGTTCTATCGGCAAAATAGATAGTTTGTGTCACGTATACTATTTTAGATTTTCAGTTAGGCTGGCAGTGAATGTCGGGACGCAGCCATGATATAAATATTTTATTATACAAATCGAATAAGTTCCCAACAATATGATGCGATTGTATAATGCCAGCGTATGCATATTACTTTAGTGTCAAAAATTAAATTGATACGATATATATATAATAATACAACGAATTAAGCCCTTTGCACAATGCCAGGCAACAGGCAATAAGAATAAAAATAGACCAATCACAATAGATTATTCTTGTAATAGTCGATTGTAATTGGTCTATTTTTATTCTTATTGCTTGCTACCTGGGCTGCGTTCCGATATTCACTGCTAGTATTGAAAATATATACTTTATGTCACATATATTATAGATCTTCAGTACCGGCAGTGAATATCGGAACGCAGCCCTGGTATTGTGCAAGGGGCCGTACAAACAGTCGCGCATTTCGTTTGTCATTACTTCATTTTGGTAGTACTGACAAACTGGCAGAAAAGCGCGGCAAAGTGCGGCACACTGACTGAGATTCGTGATAATACGGAACGAGCGGCGCGAGCAGCGGGCGACAGATATCCTCAAGAAACGAATTTATCATGTCAGAAAACAAGGAGGTGGTATTGAAATTCGCAAAATTGTCGGAGAAAGCATTTGCGCCGATGAAAGGATCTGAGTACGCGGCAGGTTACGACTTGCGAAGGTACATTACTTCAGAATGATGTTAACGCTGTCAATTGCCAAGAACAGATAAACAATACTTATAACTGCTAATAATGATTGTAGTACATGATGATAAGCAACTTGATCGAATAAGAACACACGTATGCAACTTTTTGTTTCATCAGTTGTAGATGGTTCAAGTGTCTGTGGTATTTGAATTAATAAGTTTTGGTATCTAGTAAAGAATCTAGTTGTGATAGATTGTTCTTGAAAAATGATTTTATGAAAGATTTATATCTGCATACACACACACACACACACACACACACACATATATATATATCTTTTTACATACAGCGCCTACAGATGTGTTATACCAGCGCGTGGGAAAGAATTGGTTAAAACAGACTTGCAAATAGAAGTTCCTCCTGGTACGTACGGCAGAGTCGCACCACGATCTGGATTAGCATGGAAGAATTATATAGATGTAGGTGCGGGTGTCATAGATGCAGATTACCGGTACATAAAATTACTATGAATTCTAAAGGTCTATTATCGGTATATTAAAAACTAATATTCACTTTTTGTTTTGATACAGAGGTAATCTAAGTGCACTATTATTTAACCACAGTAATGATGATTTTGAAATTGCACCTGGTGATCGTATAGCTCAATTAATATGTGAGAAAATCGTATATCCTAAAATAGAGGAAGTAGAATCTCTAAGTGATACAAATAGAGGTGCAGGAGGATTTGGTTCAACAGGCATGAAATAAAGGGTCGAAAGTTAATCCAACTCGATATGTTTCATTAATGCAAGAAAGGATTCAGGATTTGTTGTATGTACTTTATACTTTAGTTTAATTTATACTTTTATTTTTGTACCAATGTAATATTTACATGTCCGAGTACCAAATATAATAATATAATCATAAATATAATAATTCATACAATACGTGTTAAACACTTGTATCCTGAAGTATGAATAAAATATGCATATTTTCATAAAATATTTGATTACTTTTCATCTCAAAAATCATCATGACCAACTATTGTAAAATATATCGAAAAAATGTACTGGTATAAAGAGTACAAAGTTGAAACAGAGATACTCCAGGTACATTTACACCTTAGAGATGGGCACAAGTCCTGTGTATGCAATTGGTGTTTTAACAAGAGACAGTACTTTCTTAAATTCTTTATGATTTGCATTTTGCATTAATTTGTATAGGACATTTTCAGAAGTAGCTATATGGCATCCTATGTTCTGCATTCTCTGTGAAAAATAAAATACATATATATATGTGTGTGTGTGTGTGTGTGTGTGTGTGTGTATATATATTTTAAAAGGAATATATTTTACTATGTAACTACCTGCAAAGCAAGTAGTCGATCTTCTTGAGTGCGCGACACACAACAATCTGCTACAACATGAACCTCATAGCCATCTATTCTTAAATCAACAGCTGTATTTTCCACACATATGTGTGCTTCAAGGCCCATTAGTATGATAGATTCTGGTGCTTGGCCGCCGCAAATTGTTGAAAGTTCTTTACGTATCTAAAGAAAATAAGACCAACGTACACCTGTATTTGGAATAATATAAAATATACATGCACTTACTTCAGGTGTGCACATACTAAATAGGGTCTTAGCAAAAGGTCCTTTAGCACTGGAAATATCAATTTCGGTAACAGTTTTTCCTAGACCTTTTGGATTCTGTTCAGAAACTATCATAGGAATGTTCAGGATTCTCAAAGCATTGACCTATATGTACATAGTTATATTTTACACAACAACAAATAGTAGCGAGTAATATATTATTAATATTAATTTAAAAGTAAACTACACATACAATACATAAATTTAATCATAGAAAAGTAACATAACCTTCAACTTATATACATATGTTAAATTATTGAACTTTTCGATATATACTTAGATAATTTATGTTTGACAAATACAATATCTAATAGTTTACCATTTTGGAGGAGTTTTTAACGAAATTGTCGAAGTCTTTTACAACCTTAGCAAATGATTCTTGAATATCACATATTAATAACGCACTTTTTCCTTGTCTAAGTACAGCTCTTGCAGCATTTATGGCCATTGTCTCAATATTATCTTACGCACAAGTATAGATGGAAAATTGAGTTGAGACAAAACTGTTCGTCAAACTAGCTTGAAACTGAAACGTAGAAACACTTTCTGCGTCGTACTTCGAAATATAGATCTAAGCTGACTCTAACGTCACTGTGTTTATCATTATCAAGGTCATTCTACAATACGTGTCGTATAAGCTGTAAGTAAGCCGTAAGAATTGGCGAATCACAGTCGATTGTTACAAAAATAATCAGTTATAATCAGTTCTTACGGCTTACAGCTTACAACACCTATTGTAGACCAGGCCTTATCAGTTATTGTATGTATGTCATATCATTACATGACACAAGAACGATTCTATTTACTACAAGATCCAGTTCAGTGAAGAACAGAAAAGGATGACTTGTGCGAAATATATGTATCACGATAAGTGAGTATTTTCTTCTCGTAAAGTATGTTATAATTGAGGCATGTAATTTTTTGCAGTTACGTACAAGGCTGTATTACAAGTTTTTAGAAATGCTTGGTAACGTACAGGAAGTCGTGCTTCTCAATCTCTAATCAAGATTTCCCCGTATTTTTAATTAAAAAGTCAAGAAGTATATGCGCGTGATGAGGTGCTTAATATTTTATTTCCCATAATACAATGTTGATCGAGGTATCAACCTAGTAATATATGAAATTCTACCGCCACGTGTATCCGCTACTGTGGGCGCACTGTTCGTAGGCCGGCCGAGCCGAGGGCCGAGGCGAGCACGCCGAGCACGGTGCAGTGTGCTGCAACTGTGCACCGCGTTTGCGCAGTCGTGTGGGGCCATCGATGTGAGTTGCATACAGACACAGGGAAGTCGGTCGGTGGAGTGAGTCGCACGTCGAGGCGCACAGTGATCGGATAGATAATGTTCCGGATGGTCGGTGGTATGGTTCGCGGTTGAGGAAGCCCGAGACGAAGGAAACACGATCGTTGACGGGCGTCTGTTTATTATGAGGCTCGTGGAGTGCATGCGATTCGTCCGAGGCACGCGGTGCTAAAACGAACGAACGTACGTACGTGCGTGCGTACGTACGTGCGTGCGTGCGTACGTACGTGCGTGCGTGCGTGCGTGCGTGCGTGCGTGCATGCGTGCGTACGTACGTGTGTGTCGTGTTCGACGCGTTCGACTCGCGTGTCTCGCGGATCTCGGCTCGGCATCGTGTTGTTCCCGCGTACGGCGGGAGCGTCCGCAAACGTAGGATGGCTACGGAGTCTCGCGTGACTGGCAACACGAAACCCCTGGTGCCGCTGTTCACGAAGGCGTCCGACTGCGTGCACACCAGCTGCTACTGGTGGGTATCATCATTTCGCGCACGGCGGCGGTCCGCGTAACGCCATGTGGCCGCGTGCCCTAGGGCGGCAATCGATTCTTGGGCAAACAAACGCGTCGTATTGCGGCATGCACCGCGGCTCCGATCGATATGTTGCGGCGCGGGCGCGGGCGCGGGGACGGTCGAGCGAGCGCCCGAGCGCGTGGCCATCATCGCGGTACTACGCGCCTCGATGATTTCTCGCCGCCGCGCGCAATTCGAACGTGTTCAAATTAGGTTTGCCGACGGCACTTCCGAGCTGCGTTCGAAAACATTACTCGGCTGCATCTCTTATGTTGCTGCTCTTATGTGAGAGAAGCAGAAAAACGAAAAAGGGTGAATATCCGCGGGTAACGTTTCCGAATGCAGCCTCGTGGTGTTTAGATAGATGCATCTCAAAGGTGGGTGCGAACCGAGTGCGATCACGTAGCACGTATCTAGTGATGTGTGACACACGTGTATCGTATATGCTACTTTGTGTGTTACTCGTGCGATTGTTTGCATTTGTTGATTGTCTTGCTTGTATTTTGTGCTCTACTTTCGGATTGAACTTGTGTACTCTCGGGAGAGAACCGTCTCGTTTGACGGTTGACAGTTCGCTTATGGTCGGTCACACACACACACACACACACACACGCACACAAGTGGCGCGAATATACGAGTCGTTTTTATTACAATTAATAATGCATGCGATAGATAATGTGCACGACACGCAAGCGACACGCAAAGCGGTTGTCGTATCGAACCACTTGCACGAGAACACTGCACGAGTTCACATTGGTTTCCTTTTTCTTATAATTGCTAAAAGGACACGCAAGGTTGCTCATTCGGTAAACTAGTCCGGACTAATAGTATTTCTTGGCTTTTTATTATTGTGCTAATCACGACTTAACAGCTGCGCCGCTATTTTTATCACTGTTCCTGGCGATCCTCACAATTTTCACAGCGCTTTTTAGAGGCAGATTAATAAATCCTGTTCCTATTATGTCGCCGTCCCCTTCTACTCTATTTGTTATTGTGTCGTTTTCAGTATACCGTATATATATTGTGCACTGATAACACTTTTTTTTTTTTTTTTTCTTTTGAAAAGGGAGAAAATATGTATCATTTATTTAATAGCTGTTTTCTCTTTTTAGATCAAATCAGTATATTAATCGCAGAGTCGCATTCAGCACATTCTGTCGTAGGATTTTGTAGATATTAATTTATTTATTTTACCTATACTCGGTTGATATTTTCAGTTAAGAATATGTCGCACTGAGAAGAATATATTATGTCCAATTACAAGATATTGATTGAACATGAATTATGTTTCCAAAACTCTTGCTATTACAATTATTATTTTTTTATCAAGATATCTCTCTCATACTTGTCTCATATATTATTTTCAAAAGGATTTATAGTGTTTATTAATTATAATTTATATACAATCTTTACCAGCATGTATTTAACAATAATGTGTCATATGATTTTTACTTTTGTGTAAATTATAATTGTAGTTGTAGTGACTGTGTTTATATATATACACACACACACACATACACACATTACAGTGTATATGTAGTTTAATAATTCTTAATGTTATTGCTGATTTGTTTTCAAAATTTATTTGCAGTGATGTATGTAGAAAAATAGATACAAGGAAAAGAAAAAGTTGAAAAGAAAAACCAAGGCACTGAGTAGTTTCTTAAATTAAAGAAAGAAAAATTTTATTTCGGATACTTATTTCATTTGCTTTATTTTAATGTCTATATCGTGTATTCTATTTATTTTGAATTTTATAACATCTTAAAGTTTATAATATCCAGCAAAGGTTGTGGGGGATCAAGTTAAAACTGTTTTGTGTAATCAAGTATGTAGGAGTTGTTGTAGGGTGGGTGTTCCTAAAATTAACATAGTAGGGGCATGTATTGTAAACGCAGTGAATGTAGTAAATGTAGTCCGTGTGCGTGTGTGTGTGTGCGTGGGCGTGTGTGTGTGTGTGTGTGTGTGTGTGTGTGTGTGTGTGTGTGTGTGTGTGTGTGTGTGTGTGTGTGTGTGTGTGTGTGTGTGTGTCTTTTTAGAGTTCAATAATAATTATAAAATATACATAATACGCATATTATTTTATGACTTTGTATTTTGCCTTGAATATTTCTTTGCTCAGTACCAACGTGATGATCGATCGTCACGATTATTTGCTTGTAAATTATAATTCGCGTGCTCAAGAATAGATCAACCGAACGAGTTTTCGATCGAGAATAAAGGGCCATATGATCAATTTCAGCGAGGAAAACGTATGGAAACTCTGTCAAGATGTAGCGACCAGACATCCGTCTGAATTACAATATTGTCATGTTGCCTTCATAAGCAACCCACGACGAAGCGTTCCTCTGTGGCGTCAGCGGGCTGGAAAGGACGAGGACAAATTAGTCGTATGGGTCAGTACTGTGTGTGTGCGTGTGCGTGTGTGTGTGTGTGTGTGTGTGTGTGTGTGTGTGTGTGTGTGTGTGTGTGTCGGAGGACGATAATTGATTAAGGAACCGCAGGGCCTCCCTCGCTCTGCGATGTTTCATGCGAGATGATGTTGCTTTGCCTCTGTAGGATTACCATGCCATTCTCATCTACGCGCCCGACGAAAGGGCGGTGGTGTACGATTTAGAGAGTTCTCTGCCGTTTCCCACACACTTCTGGAAATACGCCACCGAAACCTTTCGATCCGACGAAGCGTTGCGGCCCGAGTATCACAGAAGGTTCCGCCTGGTGCCCGCTAGCGTATACTTGCAACAATTCGCGTCAGATCGACATCACATGAAACGCGAGGATGGCACATGGATAAAAACACCGCCGGATTATCCACCGATCTCGACACCAAGTATATCGATAGATTAATACAATTTATACCGATCGTCATACGCACGTGCTTGTAAAATTGTGTCGCACAATCGAAGCGACAACTGTCTATTTTGCAATTTGACCAGCGTCAGGTCAATTGTTTCGGTTGCACAGAATTAAATCGAGTGACTTTTCTTCCCAGGGCGAAGAAAGCGACCGATAGAACAATGTCTTATTTTTCTTGGCATTTTCTTAATTCGATTGTTTCATCATTAATTTAATCGGTCGATTAAGGCGGACAAGGATCAAAAATTATACAAATCTTCTAGTTCCTTCTAGTGTATTTATTTGTTAGCTTTTACTTAAAAGTGTCCCACCTTTTGACACATGTATTCGACACGCATCCTTTTTAATCACGAGGTCACGTTTTCTATCTCGATTATGTCACAATTTTGCAAACGTTGCATACGTGCGTGTATACTCGTGTCTATTCGTATGTACATGACATTCCTGTCTCATTGACTTTACTTGGAACGTTTCAGCGTGCAAGGATAATCTCGACTCGTTTATCAACATGGAACAGGGAACCGGGCTAGGCGTTGTAATGAGTTTGAAACAATTAGTCAACCGATTTTATAGGCCAAATGTTAATACACAGGCGCCGATGCCGCCTCAGCCGCAAGCAGCTACAGCGACTTAATCGGCAGTTAATGTGATGTTTGTATGTGATGCTTCGATTAAAGATCTTGGAAATCAATCGTATGGCCTAAGGGAATTGGTTCGGTGCACGCACGTTCACGTGGGCTTAAAAATATTAATGATCGAAATTTGATAATAATGTTGGTTAATCACTGCTAATTCTAGCAAAATTTTAAATATAAAGTCGTTGCAGTTGCAGTCGCAGTATTTCTACTTGAGCAATGTTGTGAGCTGGAATCGAGCGGATTTCCAATTTTACGTAGATTAAACTTATTGTCGCGCGTGACACTACCGTCACATCATGAATGTTCAGTTTGGATTTTCAGATACGTCGCTCTTCACGCGACGATTAAATATTCTTCATTGATTTCTTCGCCGTGCGAAGAATCTTATCTTATCTTGGATATAAACGTACTAGTTGTATTATGTATGTATGCATCGATTATTTATCATTAATATAATAGTCACGAATATTTGATATTAATGTTGGTTCCAGAGATATAAATATTTAAAGTTTCACAACAAAAAGTTATTCGTAATCAAAACTTGCGTATATATATTATACACACACACACACACACACACACACACACCGATCACTGAAACAGGCACTTTTGTAAACATGATGTAGAAATGGTTACCTATTAAGGTCATTCTACAATGAGGTTGTAGTAGTATGCAGTAGGCAAATTGACCAATCACGATCGATTGTTCTCATTACGATCGAAGAATAATCGACTGTGATTGGTCAATTTGCCTACTGCATACTACTACAACCTCATTATAGAATGACCTTTACTCTCCCGTCCCAGTCAGAGTGATTTAACTTGTGCCGCGCAAGAAGAACGATTCTGCTGAGCTGCTTTCTAAATACTCTCGATAAGTGCTTATTACCTATTATCTGTATCAATGGACTCCGTCGAAATCCATTTCCTCTCTTCTTCTAAAGCCTCCTCCTTCGCAGAGTTTATCCGGGGCGGGACACCCCTTCCCGCCGGCGAGGCGAGGCAGCTACGAGGCAGTTACGCTCGATCGCGTTCAAAACTCGAATCGTGTTTTATATAAGTAATAATTCGTCTTCATGCCACATAAAGCGATCTTTCTCACGGCTTTACTCTGTCAGTGGTGTTATTATAATTATTGTGTCAAAGACTGATGTATTTACACAGAGAGTTATCCGACTTGATAGAGATCCCTTTATCGTTCGTGTCGGCGCGTGTTCGATGCGCGGGATGCGATTAAAGCGCTTATAATTACTGTGCGATCGATGTAGTAAGGTCAAGAAGTCTTTAATCTTTGCGACGATAATGTAATTATTACATACGATTATTGTAATTCTTGTGATACTTTACACTTTCTACTTTGAATACCTATGCTTGAATACTTATCTACTGTTTGTACTAAAAGCCGATTCTTAAGAGATACATGTTCGCTTGTTGAGCGGCTTCTCTAATTGGCGTATTAACGCGAATGGACATGTGACCACGTGTTAACATCCAAGAACCTGTTGACTCAATGAACGCACGTTGCTTCAGCGGCGATATTGGCGCAAGTTTTACAACGAAAACTTGAATTCTCTATCTGTTCTTCAAGGATTAGCGATACGCGTTTCTTGCATCTCCGTTATGATGTTACATGTTTGTTACTTCTTAATTTTACTCACAGCAGATAATGAACAGATCATTAAACTTGTGCACAATCTAAAATAACGTTTTAGAATATTTTCTCTTATTATACTGTACACTGTACAAAACTTCTGCATTCTTGCGGACCGACGCTCTATCAACTCTTTGCGTTTCGAAGATGAGTCAAATACTAAACAAACAAAAATGAAACGTTCGTGAGTTTACGACGTGGCCTTCGTACGTGAGAATAGAGCCGATCGGCTCGGCTTGGATATGAGCGCGATATAAATTAAAAAAGTGCTCGTCGACCGTGATTGGTGTGATGCAACCTTGATGGACTTAAGGAGTTAAGTCGCGTGTTGCGTTATTTTATCAGATATGACAACCTTGAAACTTCGCCCTTGTGCGTCGTGGATTTGCTTCGATTGTTTCTCGTCTATTCCGTTTATATTGAAACAATATTTCGTATACGGGAGTCTCGTACGGGATTTTTTACGATATCTATACTTCGATCTCGCTATCAAAGAGTTACTTCACCCGGACAAATGCAACAGGGAAGTTTATCAACAAGCGATCACTATCGAACTATCGACTCGCCGCCCGAACTATCGGATGCCCCACGAGTGTGTGCAATAATATGCTATTAACGGGCGGGAAAGAATCCATCGGTCGTGCGCGATAGTTTTAAGAGTTCGTCCACTCTTTGCCTTCCAAAGTCTCTCACTAGTTCACTCTACTTTTCTCATCGACATATGTTTACATCCGGATTCGCATGTATCGTGTTACTACGTGCGTTACGTGTTTATAAACGCGCAGGAGTACGGTTTCGAAGTATCCAGTCACCGAAAAAGAAAAACGAGCCTTAGCTTGTAAATCGTGTGACGGCAGTCACCGCGATAAAAGAAATAGGTTTCTATTAACGGATGGCAACGCGCAACGCGTGTGGGAAATTTGGGACCGATCTTCTTAGCGAGTATATAATCTCGAGGAACTTTATCAAAAGACAAAAAAAATATTCTCTTTATCGTTCGGACAGATATTGCTAATTATATCAGAGCAGAATTATTACGATTATGATGTATGTATGTGTGTATATATATATATATACACATATGTGTGTTTGTTTGTGTGTGTGTGTGTGTGTGTGTGTGTGTGTGTGTGTGTGTGTGTGTGTGTATATATATATATGTATATATCAATATTTCATATTTATAGTACGGATATAATTATATTGTCATTATATTGTATCGATTTCGATAAACCCTCCCCCCTCCCCGCCGGTAAAAGTTTAGTCAGAAATGTTAACTTATACAATGTTTTAAATATATATACACACACACACACACACACACACACACACATGTATATATATACATATATATTTGTTGACGTTCGGTGACATATTCTCTTACCACTTGTCACTTAAGACCTGTATACGCCCGAACGTAAAAATCACGAATCTATTGCCACGTTTTCGCATATTTGCAGTGAATCATGGAAACTTCTTTACGATCTCCGCCTTTCGAGTATATGATGGGTTATTATAATAAATGGATACACTCCGTTCGTCTCAGTTTCAAATTTTACAGAACACTTTACAACTTGTCTGATTGACCATGGTCCCCTAAAGTCCTGTCCTGTGATTCCTGGTCGTACCCGATTTTTTAAGTATGTTAAAAAGATGTGTCAATTTTTATGATCAACACTATGCCAGATACGATCGATATCAAGGCGATTGAATGAAGAACACATGCGTTTCTCGAAAAAATATATATTTCAGTTCAAAATTTTAAATGTAACATTTTTAATATGAGAAAATATTTAACATAATATATATAATATGTAAATCGTCAGTAAAGTATTTCTTTTTCCATAATTTTTTCCTGCTTTTTAGATAATATTTTAATAAATTTATTGTCGAGTGGAAGAATGAGAATAAAATTGCTACAGATAACATTAAAATAAAATTAAAAATGTATCTAAACACGACATACGAATAAAACATAATTTCACATGCGTGCATTATAAAACGTAACAACTAATAGTGTAATACATAACTTTTGGGAAAAAACATATAATTTGTTGCATAATTTTTTTCCAAAAATTATATATGGATATATTATGCCTACGTGCAAAATTCACAGCTGCGCTATAAATCGGCATACATTTTTTTATCGGTAATTTATTATTTTTCCTATCAAATGTATATTTTGTGTATAATATTGTTTCACATGCATATACAACTTTTACATACAAATCTGAATAAAAAGTTACCTAATAATTACACAAAATCCATAAAGAAAGAAAGCAAGAAAGAAAGAAAGAAAGAAAGAGCATTAGTAAAAGTTTGTATTAGTATTTGTTTATAAAGGAGTAAAATCTTCCCTAAACGCGATTAATAATTGATTGTAAGATGTAAGATGGAAAGATATAACATTTGATCCTGATCTTGAAGACAGAGACAAAGCTTCTCACGAGAATATTCTCGTCTTTGTTCCCTGAATCTTTTTCCACTTGCTAAATAGTTCGTGAAATTGTTCGCTCGATATCGTAATTAAATTAGCAGGGTAATCGCTTATGTATGTATATACACTATAATTAATATAGGATCATGCTTAAGAAGACACTCAAATCTTTTTTCCGCTCTTTTGTATATTGCCCATCACCAACATTTATAGCGGAGCGTACTGAGGTATAATCATTTTTATATGTAATATGCACGCATTAACATTCATATTACATTACATACATTGAAGTACCGAGAATAATAACGAAGAATTTTTCTGAATTCCTTACATTATAATTATATTATATAAATACTCTCTCTCTCTCTCTCTCTCTCTCTCTCTCCCCCTCTCCCTCCCCCTCTCCCTCTCTCTCTCCCTCTCCCTCTCCCTCTCTCTTTCTCCCCCTCTAGGGGGCACATCGATTTTTTATTCAGGTAAATCGAGTAAATTGCATTCCTCTGTATTATCTCTACGGGACAGTTGTGTTATTTACACTGTAATATATCTTAGAACGTAAAAACGGAGAACAACGTATGTCTCGTACGATTGTATTTAGATGCGAATTTATCTGGCAAAAATGCAATTCACCAATTGATCGTACCAAAACCTTTTTCGAAAGCTGTTGTATCGAGAATGTTGCAACGATTTATCGTCAAATTCTTTGCTCAAGTCATCGTTAGGTCATATATTCAGCATTAATTCTTCAGGCAGTTTCGATCGCGACTGTAGGACATTGATCGCATTGATCGCATTGATCGCTAGATCAAAGATATTGATTTAAGTTTTCGTACGGTGGAGATTTCTGAAAATCTTGACCTGTCATCACCTGTCACGACACATGCACATGTACACACGCATCACTGCGCGAGGTACAGACAGTGTCCGCAATAAATATATCTCGTGTGTTCGAGTGCAGTTGCAAATTTCTTCTTCCAGAGACGGCCGGTCTCGTTATAGGCTCTCTCTCTCTCTCTCTCTTGAGAGAAAGAGAGAGAGAGAGAGAGAGAGAGAGAGAGAGGGAGGGAGAGGGAGAGAGAGAGAGGGAGGGAGGGAGAGGGAGAGAGAGAGAGAAAGACAGCCTATTCGAATGTCAGAACGAGATCCTCTCCTTCCAGTCTCATGCCTAGCTTGATGTCAAGACTCTTGATTTTTCCTGCTCTAGGTGCCTGTACAACCATCTCCATTTTCATGGCAGATAGCACAACCAAAGGCGCACCTTTCTCTACGGTATCACCCACTTTCACTCTGATGTCGATTACTTCGCCGGGCATCGGCGCACCCAACTGGTTCTTGTCGCTTTTCGTCGCTTTGGGATGCACGTGAAGTTCCTGCGTAGGGAATAAGAGAATTTGTATTGTGCCTCTATTGAAATTGACTTGCGTTCAGTCGACTCTGAATTTCTCTCTCGATCATATTTGGATTTCTCGAATTTTCGATTTCTTTTTGTTTTTGTAATTTTGTTGTTACTTCAGCCATCGTCGTTGACCTTTTTTATCCTGCTTCGATCATCAGATTGAAAACCTGATTGACCTGATCGAGGCAACAAGTGTATAAAGTGTGAAAACAGTTGGAGAACAGCAGTGTTTACCTTGACAGCTTCTTTATCCTTGATGAATACCGATCGCAGTTGACCGTTCATCTCGAAGAACACCTCGCGTTCGCCATTTTTCGTGAGGTCCTCAGCGACAGCCAGGGTTTTAATACCCAGAGTTTTGCCCCTCTCGATCGTAACGTCGAATACCTCACCTACTTTGGCTCCTGTGAGGAAAATTCTGGTCTCCAGTTTGTCCACCGGGCCGAATTGTTCCTTGAAACTCAAGTAGTCTTTCGTTACTTTCGGGTAAAGTGCAGCCGACATAACGTCCTTCTCGCTCATGTGCGGATGAGATTCTTGCAACTCTTTCTTCAAGGCGACAAAATCCAACGGCGCCAGACTCGCACCTGGTCTGCCCTGCACGCGCGGCATATCTTTGAGGACCTTCGACCTTCGAACAGATTGCAGATAAATGCGAATTAGGCTTGACGTGAAGGTGAAAATGCTGAAGAATAATCTAATCGCGTCGCGTCGCGTCGCGTCGCGTCGCGTCGCGCTGCGTATGGCAAAATCTCACCTGAGCGGCTCGGGGAACCCTCCGTGGGGCTCACCGATAGCACCCTGAAGAAACTCGACTACCGACTTGGGGAAAGACAATTCCTCGGCTTTGTTCTGAACATCCTCGGCGGTCAGCTTGTTCTGGACCATGAATTGCGCCAGGTCGCCGACGACTTTGGAACTCGGCGTGACCTTGATGATATCACCGAGCAAGAGATTAGCGTGCCTGTACGCCTTCTTCACGTCCTCGAAGAATTCGCCCAGACCGAGGGAGTAAGCTTGGAATTGTAAGTTGGTGTATTGACCGCCAGGAATCTCGTTGAGATAGACGTCTGCGTTTCCGGATCTCATCGTCGTTGTGCACTCGAAGGGCGCGTAGAGCGTTCTCGTTTGTTCCCAGTATGCGGAGTACTCGGAGACATCGGGCAGATTCAGCTTTGTATCAATGTCGGTCCCTGCAATCGCATTGGCAGTCGCAAAATTTCAAGGCCGTCGTATAGTGCCTTAGTGTAGTGTAGGCTAGGAAGGCAGCAGGAAGGTAGGAAAATAGACGCGCTTTCTGAGCGTTACCCTGTAGAGAAGCAACGACTGCGCCCATAGATGGCTGGCTGGTCATGCCGGACATGCTGTCAACGGCAACATCGACAACATCGGCGCCGCTTCTGGCACAGGCTAACATGGACGCCACCCCAGCCCCAGCGGTGTCGTGCGTGTGTATATGAAGCGGCACGTCCGGATGCTTCTGCCTGATGGCATCGATCAGTATTCCGGCTGCTTTAGGTTTCAGCAATCCAGCCATGTCCTTGATCGCCAAGACGTGCGTGCCCGCTTTGACCAGCTCGTCCGCCAGATCGGTGTAGTACTTTAGATTGTACTTGGTGCGCGATGGGTCGCTTACATCGCCTGTGTAGGAAATCGCTGCCTCGACGATACCTCCAGCTTCTCCAGCCGCCTCCATACCTGAGGGAATGTTTGAGCTCGATGATAGATGTTGCGAGAAAACATTTTCGAGATTAACATAGCTCTAGCTCTGTCTCAAGCTGTCATAGCTTCGTGGTAAAAGTTCTCGGATAGCTTCTCCCGAAGTGGTAATTTTCTATTCGAGCTCAACCATTCGCAAAAGTAGAAATTTGACTCTCACATATTTATATTCTTTATTATTTAATGCCTTACAATAAATTGAAATGGGCAGGACAGAAATGCTTATCTTCAATGTGATTTTCAATCTCTTACGTTTGAGCACTCACCGATTATGAGATTTGGTAGGTAATTGAGCGAGTCGAATACTCTGAATATATCCATGCCTGTCCTCACAGCCAGTTCGCAGAACTTGAAGACGACGTTGTCGGGATAGTTGGTATATCCGACAGCGTTAGCGCCTCTCAGAAGCATTTGGAATGGAATGTTAGGGATGGCTTTGCGCATATCTTCCAAACGTTCCCAAGGGCACTCGTGAAGGAACCTTAGAGCCACGTCAAAGGTCGCGCCACCCCAGTTCTCCAGCGAGTAGAGGTTGCTGAATTTGTGCGCGACGAACGGAGAGATCATCAGCAGGTCGTGCGAACGTACACGAGTCGCTAGAAGGGACTGATGAGCATCGCGGAACGTAGTGTCCATTAGTAAGAGACCTTTGTGCTGTCTAATGGCCTTGGCGAAAGCTTCTGGTCCTTGTTCTTTGTAGATATGACGGAATCCTTTCGGAGGATCCAGGATATCTGAAAGGCCGCAACAAAGGAGAGATTAGCTTGATCCTTTTCTTTCAAAGGAAGCGATCGTTACTCGTTACTTGTGCAAGCTTTTCATCAATACTGCTGGCAAATGCTTTACGAAGCTGTACATACATACGAGAAGTGAAAAAAAAATGTTATTTCTGACATTTGAAAATATTGATCATGTTTATTGCTCATACTTGTACACATGGCAAGGCATATGAGTTGACTAAAATGTTAAAAGATATTCTCGTCGTTGACTATCAAGTTATATGGCATTAAATCAAACGTCTTTTCTTATTCGATGCTCTCCAATCTGGAATATGAACAAATTTCAAGGTTTGCTGCGCATTGAAACAAAAGCAAAGAGCGTTTCTGAATTTTTTCTTTTTTCTTTTTTCTTTTTTTTTTTTTTTTGTATAAAGCCAGTATGAACGATTGAGCCAGTCGAATAGACCGTTTTACAATATAGTTGTCAAAATTTAAACAGCGATAATAATACATGACATTACAACTAAAGCCTACGCAAGTTTAAAGGGCCCGTTTCCGAATTAATGTTGTTATTTGAATTTATATATTGTAATGTATATATTTATATTAATATTAATAGCAGTTATATATTATTCTATATCATACATACACGCGCGCGCGCGCGCGCACATGCACATTTGCTTATCCATAGATATATCAAGGTTAGAATTTATACAAATTGGATTAAGTGACAAATCAAATTTGGAAAAACTGAAAATTATATATATCAAATCCCGGTAAAGAGGTTTGTGCCAATCTGAAAGAAAATAAGCAAATCGAAAACACATAAAATTTTGCTTCGTACCCATGTTTAACTTGTCTTCACGACCTGTGTACAATACTAGATTTTAGTATAAACACGAAAATAACAAAAAAAAAGAAAAAGTTAATTCGACATAGTACTGTAACCATACCTGGTGCGTCAGGATCATTGGTCTCTTCCGCTGCTGCAAGCTTAGCAAAGTCTAAAAAAATTGTCAAACAAAAAGATAAAAGCATGCGATAAACAATAAAGTTTACAAACGGAAATTTAATATCTAAAAGAAAAATATATAGAAATAAGTCACTGCGTGGAAATATGATGGCTAAATAAATCTTCGAGAGTCGAAGATATTTGGGATTTGTCTCGAATTATCCCATTTATAACTAACGCATGGTGATGATACATCAATAAGATTTTAATTACGAATGAACCTTTTTAATTGTGCATGAAATGAGAGAAGATGAAATACCGGTCATGCTTTGATTATTGTTATTTGTTAAAACTAAACTGAGGGTGACAATAATAGAGACGTATGACGACACACTTCGTGAGTTCGTCATTTACCAATTCGCGTAGTGTGCAATGAGCCCAATGTGAGGTGATGTAATAATTTTGAATTTTACTAAGAAACCAAAAGAAAAAGAATACACAATAAAAATTTTAACGGTCTAATCTAAAGTCTCCTTTAAATGTTGGGAGAAAGCAAAAATTTATCGTTACCGTTAAGTGAACACGTGATATCTATCCATTGTTTTCTATAATATCGAAATTAAGATTTCGCAGGATATTCCATAAAAATGAAAAATTTCATCGAAAATAGGTAAATCCATAAAAATAATAACAAATATCTCTTCGTATGTATGTTTCTCTTGAAAATTCTCTGTTGTCATACTATCGTATCAATATTTATTTGAATCAGAATCATATCTTTGTTTAAAATTTTATCTCGTAAATTATCATCTTGAGACATTAACCCGAAGTTAACCGTACGATTAAATTTTGGATCGATTCTTCTTTAGAAAGGTATATATATAGTTAAAGATATCCTATTCATATGAAAGAGAAAAAAAAGAAAACAGAGAAAAGACAACCGTTTTGTTGACCGATAAGTATAAAAGTATATTGTTCGTACGCTTTCTGCCCTAATTATTCCTATTAGGAATGATTTTCTTGCATAATCTCGAGCGAAATGTCTTGCTTATTAAGATTAAGATTTGACTGTGGATCTGAATTCAACTAAATTTTCTACGCGTAGCCTAAGGTTTACTTGATGCAAATAAAATGACACTTTGCGTCACCAAGATGCAGTAGGTGTATTTAAGTGATTCGCTTGAATGAAACCAAATGTCGAAGTCGAAGATGAATCCTCATACACCATTGTCCCAAACTACTATTGCTCTATTCATAGGTGATCGGTCATAAGTACCTAGTGCAATTTGTGGAATATGCGGCTTGATATCCGCCGGTTTCAGCTGAGTCGCTAATGGCGTACTGGGGCCGTTCACCAGGACCGTGCCGATGTAATTGAGCAGCTTCTGTGCGCGATTTTGACTCGGATGGAACTGGAAAAGCTGAGGATTCTCGTCGATGAAGTACGTATCGACGATACCGTTGAGGAACTTTTGATTCTCCAGGACATTCAGCAGGAAAGGTATATTCGTTTTCACCCCGCGCACACGGAATTCACGAAGAACGCGGTTCATCTTGGCGCAGGAAGACTGGAGATCGCCGGCGTGAGCGATCACCTGACGAAACAGATTATTCGTTATCAACATTAGTTAGATATAGATATCATGTAACATTTAGATGTCGTGAACATTTCGTCGCCGCATTCAATCTGTTATTTGTCACATTTTTCATGCATTCCTCATGTATACTTTTCATGTGCTTGATATCTTTCAGCTTTGGGTTGCGATGATTTTTACACACACACACACACACACACACACACACACACACACAATGTAACAATGTTTGGTCACGATGTGATTTATAATTATTTAGAATTATTTCTTCTATGAAATGCTTTTGTTGTTTATATTTATGAATTAGCAAAAATTATATATATATATATATATATATATATAAGTGATATATAACTGACTTTGTAAACGATTTACGACGAGCTAAAAATGGCCATATTTGTTTTTCATGATTTGTACGAAGAGTATAATGTGCAGTTAGTGCACGTAGTACTTATCTACTTCATACTCCGAGTAGCCGAGTAGTCATCATAGACAATCTACCTTGACGAGAAGTGAGTCGTAATACGGCGAAATTATAGCACCGGCGAATGCCGAGGCTCCGTCCAATCGGATGCCCATGCCTTCGCCGGAACGGAAGACTTCTATCCTCCCGGTATCCGGCTGGAAGTTTTTGGCTGGATCCTCCGTGGTCACACGACATTGTATCGCGAATCCTTGAGGTATGATCTTTTCCTGCGTCATACCGAGCTCCGGCAATGTCATGCCCTCGGCGATCCGAATTTGGGATTGCACGAGATCGATCCTGAAGGGTTGAAGGAAAACGACATGAATGAAAATAAAAATTAACAAACGACGTAAAGCATCTGACAAAGTGTTGCGTGCGTATTGTGTGCGAGGTAGGCACGCTCACTCTTGATACTCGTGATCGTGAACCAAGCACGTAAACCACAAATTGAGGAGAAGAACAATGAGACGGAGAAGAGGAAACACGCAAACGACGCTTGTCGAATTTTGGGTGAAATCCCAGTCCCATTACCCACCCAGTTATCTCCTCGGTTACTGTGTGCTCGACCTGTAACCTGGCGTTGACCTCGATAAAGTAGAAATTTCCGGTTTCGTCGACCAGGAACTCTACGGTGCCGGCGTTCGAATAACCGACGTGTCTTGCCAATTTGACAGCGTGCTCGGTCATTTTTTCACGGACTTTGGCCGACAACGCTGGCGCTGGCGCGATCTCGACGACCTGCGGCGATTTTTACAAGAGTGTCGTTTAAAATTCAACGGCGGAGCTTTCGGAACGTTGACGCTTGATGAGATCCTTCGGATCGTCGTTCTATCTATCTACGTGCTTATATCATGCGTAGCTTTCACAATTTGGAGGCGCACCAAGCCGATTGAGTCGCGCCGAAACCGAGCGGTTATTATTAATTTGCAAATATACTTTGTGTATTTGTGCGCTGCTACCCTTGAATTTCTCCCGTGACGCGGTTGCGTCAGTGTCCTCGTTTCGGACGAGACAAACGCATATTCGGACGACAAACCGCAGTGAATGTGCGCGCTTGCCATTCGCGTTCGAGCGACATTTTCCTCCTCCCAGAGGAGGAGACGTCGGCTTCTTCTAATTTGTAATTGATAAAATTGTCGATAGAATGTTGCTCGCGCGCGCGGACATATTGTATCGACATATCGGGACGACCGATTGTTATACCGACGACCAACTGACTACAAATTAATAAATAATTAATAAAATAATGATTTACATATGAGAAATTTTCTTGATCGTCTTGATTTTGGGACATATCTCGCGCACACGACACCACCGCACCGATTTCTCGCATTCTACAGTCTCTCTTTTTAACGTACTTTGCGACGAATGAGTCGTAACCTTGCTCCTTGTTTGCGGAAAGTAAAACGCTTACAGTTGCAGTTAACTGCTCGAGACATATCAGTAGTAAAATATTTTTCTCCTCGCAAGTTTACGCAAGTTTAGCATTTACATTAATATCAAACGTGTTTGTAGTTCCCAAGTGAAAAATTATGCGAGTAGAAGTGAGAAATATGAGGAGAGAGAGAAAGAGAGAGAGGGGGAGAGAGAGAGAGAGAGAGAGAGAGAGAGAGAGAGAGAGAGAGAGAGAGAGAGAGAGAGAGAGAGAGAGAGAGAGAGAGAGAGAAAACAGAGATGTCTCAACGTCATTCCATGTGTAAGCCAGAATTCTGCGGGCTCCGACATCGAAATTGATGTCGGAAATCAGTCGAGTTTCGATTCGAATACCTTTTGATGACGACGTTGGACGGAACAATCGCGTTCGTACAAATGCACGACATTGCCGGCATGGTCGCCGAGTAATTGCACCTCGATGTGACGTGGTCTCTCGATGAATTTCTCGATAAACATCGCGCCATTTCCGAAGGCAGCCGCAGCCTCGGAAGACGCGCGATCGAACATCTCGCGTACTTCTTCCATCTGTCTTACGACTCTCATACCTGTGAGACAACAAGCGATGCTCTGTACAAAAAATGTTACATCATACGGAATGTAGTGTCATTTCGCGAATAGCGAGACAACCTGTCGCAAACGCGCAGGTTTGTGCGCAGAGATCGCTTCTCGCGACACAACAGCGCGCTGGTCTACACACTAGCTACTTCCGCTACATTATTTAACGGGGAAACGATGGGGTGTATTTTTCACGGTTTTTCGCGATTTACACGGACAGCTTGCGGAAACGGAAACGACAACGGCGAAGCAACGAAGCGTCGCTTTAGTCGCGCCCGACTCAGCGACACTCGCCACACTCTTTCCCTACTTGCGTGTAGCTTTTAATTTGTAATTGTAATCTGTTCATTTAATAGAGTGATAATAATTTTATGCGATAAATGAGACCACAGTGTCTTGGAACGGACTACTCGATAAGCTAAGGAACGTGCAAGTCTTTACGTGCAAGTCTCTTTAATCGTGAGCTCTGCATAGCTGTAAATCGTAAGTTTTCCTTCTGTCTTCAGACAAGACAAGGGCGAAACCTGAACCCCGATATCCTGCACTAACCTCGTCCGCCTCCTCCGTAAGCGGCCTTGAAGATAACCGGCAAGCCATGCTTCATGCAGAATTCCATTGCTTCGTCCGAAGTTGTCACTGGACCGTCCGTTCCCGGTACAATAGGCACTCCGGCAGCAATCGCAGCTTGTCTGGCAGCTACCTGCCATGTATGTATATCGAATATGTATAATATATCCTCTGTATACCATATACCATTTACCAAAATACTTATATGTCGGAGAGGGAGAGGGAGGGAGGGAGGGTGGGAGGGAGGGAGGGAGGGAGGTGGAGAGAGAGAGAGAGAGAGAGAGAGAGAGAGAGAGAGAGAGAGAGAGAGAGAGAGAGAGAGACAGAGTTCGGGATGAAAGCATGAGATTACCTTGTCCCCCATTTGCTGGACAACCTTAGGACTAGGTCCGATGAACCTGATGCCAGCATCAGTCACCGCTTGCGCAAAGTCCGATCTCTCCGAGAGGAAACCGTAGCCAGGATGTATGGCGTCGACGTCATTCTCCTTGGCGACTTGAATAATTTCGGGAATGTTCAGATAAGCCTGCACCGGAGGTAGCCCTCTACCTACCAGGTAGCCCTCGTCTGCTTTCTGACGGTGCATCTGCATCTTATCCTGCTCCGAGTAAATCGCCACCGAGCGGATGCCGAGCTCCGTGCAGGCGCGGAACACACGAACGGCGATCTCCCCTGAAATTGTCGCACATTGAGATTTCGGCGCGAAGCCGCCCGCGCCGAAGGGATCTCGCTTCGGTCGCTCGCTTCGGAAGCTCGATTCGGAAGCTCTGATTTTCTTCGATTTGACTGATCTGACGATCAGAAACCAGGATACCAGGATATCGTTCGCTCGAGCGAGCAATTGCCGGTGGTGTTATTTTTGGTGGCGGCGTTATTGAAGCTACCGAGAGTCAATAAATATCGAGACGAGGCGAGCGAATTTCTATCTTTGCGATCGCGACTCTAGAGAGATGAGAATAGATGAATGGGCGAATACATTTTTCATCTGTCTCTATGTTGTATCGGATATCGCATCGATCGAGAGCGGATCGAGCGCGCCGCACGCTGAGCGCACGCGGCTTAATTAAACCAGAAGAGCCACTACTCGTACTCTACGTGGCTCGGCGCGCTAAATCGGGGCGCTAATATCGTCTCGCGTCTCAATTAATCGCGCGCGACCTTGTCCCTACGAAAATCAACAGGCGAGCATCCGATAATCCGTTTGACGTAACGTCAAACGATTAATCACGAGTCGTATCACGAGCATCGCGCGACTCGACGGCGCGACGGTCCGATGAAAGTAACGGCAATTATCTGGAAAGCGTGCTAGATCTAATCCGAAGAGCGGGGATCCGATGCGCTCATCGCAGTACGATTGCACAAGCGTAAGGCAGTACACCGCGTGATACACCGCGTCCTGAAAAAGTAGGACGGAGCGAGGGAAAGAACGAATTCGCAACGATCTGACGCAGCGATCGCTTGTCGTTGTGTTCGCATCGATGAATATTGATCCGTGCGATAAAATGAAATGAATAATGAAACAAAATGCGGATAATGCTGTAAGTGTGTTTACGACTGCAACGAGCTTGCTTGACGTCAACAAGCGCCGTTAATGAGTTATCGCTGCGTTATCGAGAGCAGACTCGTAATCACTCGTACGTAACCCAACATCGCGCGTTGTCTTATCAGTCTTCTACATGAGATAAGTCTCTTTTCGCCCCTCTTCTGCCCCAAGCAGATCCGTTAGCTCTACGGAAAAGTTACTGTATCGAGTAATGTACGTTAAATGTAACAACGCGAGATATACGCTTCTGCGTGTGCGTGTGGGACAGGACAGATTAGCTCCTTCCAAGCTTCTAACGACCCTTGCGAATAAGAGCGCAATTCCGCTTCTCAAGGAGAATCCTGCGCGTCGACTTCGCGGTCGCGGAGGATGAACGGTGACGTTTCACACGTTACCTCGATTGGCGACGAGGACACTCCTGATCGGTCTGAATTCCACATCTGTGCTGAAGCTGTTTGCGGCGATTTTCCATATTTGCAGCGCGGTCTTATGTTGGCCCAACGCTCGATGAGCACGTATAGATTGCATCTTGCTGGCTGTCTGGCTGGCTCTCCTCGTCTCCAATTCACGATTTTCTCCCGATGAGCGTATGAGCGTATGAGACGCTGTATGTATGACGCTGACGAAGACTTGGATTTAACTACGGATTTAGCTAGTGTTTAAATACTTATTTCTCCTAGAAGAACGAAACAAATACTTTTCGTTTTATCGTTATCGATAAGGTTTTCAGGCCGCACCGGTGTTTTGTGACTAAGTTTTACGCTTATGAAATATTTTCTCTCCTTCTGTTTCTCTGCGAACAGGCTCGGTAAGAGATGACAAGAGATTCCAGTTGATTCCTGTGATGTCCTCCAGCAGCATTTATGAATCTCCGGTTTATCAAAAGTCGATGCTCGTTTTCGACATTCGTATGCCTTAAAATGTCACGATGTTTTGTTCCTTAAGAAGAAGGAGGGTTGTCTCTCCATAAATATTTTGGCCACACAATTTCTGGAACAAACAATTGATATATATACACACTGCTCCAAAGAATTATGGCATAGATAATTTATTGCCGAAAATTGGCCAACTTTGACTGGCGATTACTTCGCCAAAGAAAAATTATCGTTGACTAATGACTTTTAGTTCAAGATGAAGCTTCAAGTCTCTACTTGAAGAATGTATCTCCATTTTTTGCACGCCATGCACACTTGGCCCGCGAAGGCCAAAAACAACGATATTTTTGAAGGGCTGTAACTTTGCGAAAAAAAATTGTAGCGCCTCCACTTTTGTTTCAAATTGAAGGGGAAGATTTGAACTTTATGACGATGCAATGATGGCGTCAATGATGGCCCGAAAAAAAAAAAATTGTCCACGCACGTCCGTGCATTCCGTCGAAACTTTGCAATTTTCAGTACACCAAACATGCCCTCAGATGTCAGGGGTTACAGGGGTAGGGGGGTGCATCGCGTGCAAATAATGGAGATAGATACATTCTTAAAGTAGAGACTTGAAGCTTCATTTTGAACTAAAAGTCATTAGTCTACAATAATTTTTCGCGTTAAGTAAGTAATCGCCAATCAAAGTTGGCAATCAATTTTTGGCCACTAAATTATCTATGCCATAATTCTTTTGGGCAGAGTATACATAGATGACAGATGTTTAATATAATTATTATAATCATATCATAATTATACATATCTTATATAAATACAGTATTAAATTATGATATAACAATTATTCCTTAATTATATAGCATATAGTGTATTCAATATAATTTTATTAGATTTAATTTCATTATTACTGAAGTGGTTATTACTAGGATAATAGCATGAGAGATAATACGATCACGATCTCACGTATGTATGTCCCGTATTAATACGTACTGTTGATTACAATTTTCAACAGAATGTTGTGTCTCCTTTGCCCATTACGTAAGCGTAATCAGCGACATGTTAATATGAAATTTCTCCAAATAAATTGGAGAGATAAGAAGTGCCAGAAATATAGCAGTTTGCTCAATCAATTGGTAGCGGGAATCAGATTTATCCACTTTACCGGCTCAACGTCCAAATAAACATAGGAATCAGTCAGTCGACGTGTTAACATGGATGAACTTCTGACTCGCTGGATTGCTAATAAATGAATGTGAATTTTAAATTATCTGCGCCTCTTTCTCACTGCTTCTCTTACTGTTTCTCTTACGTCTTAAAAGCATTATACCATATTTCTTGACGTACATTCTAAATATTGGGGGGGGGGGGGCGGGGGGGGAGGGCATGTATATACTATAAGTTTCCTGTTAAACGTGACAAGAATATATGTAAGTGTAAAGTATCACCGTGTTCTTGATATTGTAAAAAATTATATTTCTTACTCTTATAAATATTTAATTTATGAAAGTATATATCGTGTTAATTTGTACTGATTATATCGATATCGAATGATTTTGCCTAAATTTCTCTGTGGCAAACACCTATTCACGTTTTAGATCAGTAATGCGATTGTATGCGATGAATTCGATCGGTAATGTGCATGTCGGTAACACTCGTAAAAACTATTCAATTCATTTTATATCATATATACCGATAAGATAAGAGAATTTCGTTTGAACTCGCGGATCCTACGGCGGTTGTGGTTTAAAGTGTGTTTCTAATTCCTAAGAGAATACGAAGAAATTAATCGAAGAATTTATTTAAAGTTGGGAAATACACGAGATGATTCGAGTTAAAATCTCTTAATCGTCCTTTTGCAATGTCTTAAATGTTTTATTCGTATCGTCGCTTGTTTCTATCCCTGAACCGGTCTCACGTTTCTCCTCTATCTCTACAAATGACTAAATAAAATTAGCGAGCGAATCAAGTTGTAAAAAAAGGTCAAAGCATGCACCGCTTGTCAAAGTTTTGCCTCCGCCAATTTGACTCATTAATCGTGCTGCGATTGGCATTGAGCGTAACGCAACATCGGCCAAACGACAAACGTATCTGGATTAGCACAATAAAGTGATATAACTGTGTACAGTACCGTATCACGGTATCGTGTTGACTCCGATTTTTGGCACGTCGCCGACCAACCGCTCATAATATCATCGCGTATAACGCGAGTTCCGGTCGTCATACGAAGCAGGCATACGAAAGCAGAGCGTAGCGTAGTTTGCGCGCGAAAACTCGAGTGTAGAAATACTTGACGATAAATCAAATGACACGTTGTTGTTGTTGTTGTTGTTGACGATCGGTTGTATCGGATGTGAATGAAGAATAGATCGCGCACTTGCGCGCATCGTGGATCAAACTGGTCCGACGACGGTAAAAAGGGGAGAGACAACACGATCGCCGATTTTATAATAACTGCGGCCACTGCGTGGCCTTGTCCTGTCCACGCGTGGCAGATAATCGATCAAAATTGGCAGGCTGTAGGTCCACAGGAAGGGGGAGAGACAACTCGTACGGAATAAATAGTATGATGCATTATTAGCGCTCCATAATGGCGACGATTATGTTCTGTGGACGAACGATCAATGGTCAACGACCATTCAACAAGTTGAAAATTTAATAGCGTCGAATCGTGTACCCCTCCCCCCCCTCCGGCCGGCGACGAGATATCGACTGACTCATCATCGTTTTGATACGAGCATAGAGGAGACGCACTTTGCTTAGATGTATGATACATCATTCGCGATTCGTGAGTTGGTTCTCGAACGAGTTTAAAAATTCAGATGAGAAGTACGTAGCATGCGTCGATGCGGTGATCGATGACGATAAGATCAAAACACGGAAAGCATCAAGTAAGAGTTAGTTAGTTTGCAGCTTTTACTAATTTTGGGTCTACTGACACTCTCGCTTGTCGTTATCGTTTGTTCGCGGATATAACGCTTCAGAGAGAGAGAGAGAGAGAGAGAGAGAGAGAGAGAGAGAGAGAGAGAGGGGAGGGGGGAGAGAGAGGGGAGAGAGAGAGAGAGAGAGAGAGAGAGAGAGAGAGAGAGAGAGAGAGAGAGAGAGAGAGCGAGCTACAAGTGTAGCTGGTGCGGATTGTTCGTGCGGAGTTGTCGATATCAGGTAAAGTGTCAGCAACCCGGCAACCCGTCCGCGATATGCTTGATATAATTCGATGATGAATCGCGACTTGGCAATTAGAAGTCAGCCCCCCCCCCCAGGGGGAAAAACCGTTTCATGAATGAATTTTGTAGCGTCCAGCTGCGCGCTATGCTGCCGGTGAAACGGAACAAGAGATTTATGGCTGGTTTAACGTTATTCGAGCATGCAACAGCACGAGCAACAGATCGTGCGTATCATATCGCATTATCATCGCGGTTAGTTTTTGCGTGAAAAGAATGTAGAATGATCGATCGAGAATGGAAATTTTTTTTACGCCTTCCAACACGCCTCCTACAATTGACTGAAAAATCGTGGTCTGCGGTGAAAAGACATATACGGCATGGCATTGTCAACTTTAGAAACATGGTTGACTGAACGTTCCGTTTAATATCTTACATAGAGGATTATGCTGCTTACCTCCGACTAATTTCATATTGTGAAATTTCATCAATAGCAATTCGCAGCAAATATACTCGCACGTAATGCCAACGTCATTATATACATTAAATGCACAACGCAATAACGTCGGCTAAAAAATATCGAGATTTATGTTTTCCTTCTAAGAACATCGGTGTTTCGTATCGCGGTTTAGCTCGCGGTTTAGTTCACTCACGCATATAACGAGTGGACAATAAAACGAAACATTTTGTAATATAATGGACTTACCACGAGAAGCTGATAAAACGCGTGCTGCGGCGCTTTTGCGCGTTACTCACACACACACATACACACACACACACACAACTATTCATAATCACGCGCACTCTGTAAGCTGGTCCACGCTGGTAACTGGAAATTACTTTGCTATCTAATAAAAGCAGCTTCGCTACTGCAAACGGAAGAAAGGAGCGATGGTATGGCATATTTAAATTATTTCAAACCACGACCAAAGAAACAAGAAAGAATAGATTCGCGTAGTACACGGCGGGGGAGGAGGGAGGGAGGGAGGGAGGGAGCGGCGACGCGCGACGACTCGAGGCAGTCGTAAAATACGTATACGAGATAGATTTCTACCGGAGTTCTCTACATCGATATCGAATCTCGCGGTGACGTGCGTTTTCGCAAAGTCATCTACGAGTGTATATAATCAACTCGATCGACTTGCGAAACTTTATTGACACATGACGATACCTAATCGAAGCACACTGTGAGAGTGTCTATGAGGCTCCCAACCTTGTGAACATAATCTCGACATCTCGGCCTCGAAATCTTCGATCGAACGTAAATGAATTGCTTCGTCTGGCGTCTATCATGTAATCGATAATTGCGTGAACTATTGACTTCTTCGTCACACGTGCGTAACACGTTCGTAACACGCGCAGCTTTCGCAGATCGCAGATGTTTCTCATTTTCTTCTTTGTAACTATCGTACGTCGCGTGACGCGTGAAAGGAAGTTAAACTTGATTTTCTCTCTCGAAAGACTACTACTTACTATTCTTGCTTTTCCGGTGCTGTCGTTGACACTCGTTGGACGACGTCTCATCTAATCTGAATGTTAAGTAACATTAAATAGGGATTTCGGACAGTTCGAAGTAAATATTAATATAATTATGAAGTATAATGCAATTAAGCACGTATAAAGAAAGGATCGGACGGATATGGAGTTTCGAAATACGGTAACGGAGTAACGGATATGGAGCTGGCTGAACGTCGGTGCTGGACTATCTCTCGACACGAAATACTGAGTATCAAATTTCAAAAATCCAGCACCAGATGTCGCCGCAGATGACGCAATGTACTCGTACGTGTGTGCGGGCAGAAGTTTCATTGGTTCCTGACCAGAAGGATAAGTTAGAGCTTTTAAACTAAAAGCTACGTATTATAGACCGCTGCTTAGAATCGTGGATAATTCAATGCCTGAATTGGCATCGCGTCTTGTGTTAATATCGGCTTAAAGTTGTCGTGTACATAGTACACTGAGAAACCGACAAAACCGACAACACACATCAGTCGTGGAATAGCAATAGCAGGTGATCTGCGAAGATCAATAACAGATGACCGATCGACACGTACGTGCCAAAGTGTTTGAGAGTGTTGGCTCAACTCGAACGCTAATGTGACTTCAGCGGTTTCACATTAGAATTATTACTTTATCATCATTCATTTGTATCGGCTTTTGTACTTTTGCACGAACCGGGAGGTCATCCTAATCTAATTTTTCAAAGAAAATTTCTTATCCCTTGTTGTCAAGTATTTCGCATAATCGCAAATGGATTACAAAGTGATAACAAATTGCAACGACTCCGTGTAAGACCGAAAAGGGACTGCCTGAAGCCCGTTCGCTACGCTTACGAATTCGAATATATCCGCGATATACTATAATTGCATTGAGCAACGGCTCAACAATCAAACCATGACGATCTAAGGTCGGCTTCATCTCCACCAATCATCAATCTTTTAAGGTTTGAGAGCGTGAAACTTAATAGTTAATTGAGTAGAATTTCTATGTCAACCGCCTGCCAACCCAACATCAACATGTATCCTGGCCCGTATGATTACATCCGAAATATAAATAACACGAGTGATTTTCGCATTTTTCTTTGTATCGATCGTTTCAATCGGTGGATTGAACAAGCTCATGCCTGCAGCAATGCGCGCGGGTCGCATCGAATGTGACGCGACGGCCAATAACTTATGTTAATTGTTAATTAATTCAAACGCAAGACAAACGCAGACTTTCGATGCATCGCTCTCATCGCGTTATGATCGTCAGTCGTTCTCTGATTATTACAATGCGTTATTACGTTGCATTGAGAGTACGTTTATTTGATATAACGCGCGTGTAGATACGTACGTAAACACACATTATGAAATATTTTCGAGTATCGATCACACACACACACACACACAGTAACTGTAGTACCGTGGCGTCTGAGAAACAACTGATGTATAGTGTCTACTGGTGTGTGTATGACCTGGACTTCGGCACATGACGAGCATTATATTTTCATAGAGTCGTTTCTTATCGCAGTGTGGGGCGAGTTTGAAGCATATGATATTCCCAAAGCTATCATATTAAGTAAGCTTCGTTAAAATCGAAAATACAAAAGTTTATATATATTTATTTCCGATGTGATAAAAGTTGTAGTAACAATAATGAAAATGAGTAATAAACAAACAAATAAAACCACGTATGCGTGTCATGTATATTAGGTTGATGCAAAAACAATTGCGGTTTTCGTCATTTTGAGATTTGGCGCCGATTCTTTTGGAGTTCTTCCTTATCGTTATCTTTTTCAGAATTCTATCCTGCAGGGAATAAACAAACTTGTTTCCCCGTTGGGAGAAATGTGGCTGTGCAGTTCAATGGTCTTTATTTTTATAAATAAATATAATTTTTAACTGATATATATATATATATATATATATATATATGCGTAATAATATAGTAATGTGGTAAAGTCGAAATTGTATTTCGGGGGAGAAACATATGACGACGCGTGATATAATCAAAGTGCACGAGAACGGATCAAATAAAAATAGAATGTTTCGCAGAAAGGACCATTGTTGGAGTTCATTGGCATCAATTCTTGGCATCAACTCTTAGAGGAACGATTATAACACGAGTAGGTAGGTAGGTAGGTCGATTCCCTAAATGCTAAATCATTATCGATCCTTTGCGCTGAGAGCTGCGCTGAGGAATCTGCAGGAAGAGGATGATTTATCGCCTCCGTCTCCGCGGTACGTGAGATCAGAAAGCGAGGCTGGTTAAAGCAGCCATCAATCGTGAAAGACAGTCAATTAAAGACTAGAACTTTCGTCCGCTCGAAGCTCGAAGAACTCGTCGTATGAGAACTCGTCGTATCAGCGAACTGTGAGGAAACGAATGAAGGCGCCTTGATTGAAATGATACAACGATAAGTAACACTAAACAATTTTCGGATTCCACAAGTCGGCGGAATCTCCGACGGAGAGTCGAGAAACTCTCAGGATGAAAGAGAAACTCGCTCATTTGTCGTTTATTCAATTGGCCTTGCTCTCTCCTTCGACGACGGGAAGAGATAGCACTCGGATAGCATGCTTATGATATGCGGCTTATGCGAAGACAGAGCTCGTGTCGTAAACACAATTGCACAAGTTATGAAGTTACAACAGTGAAAAATAGCGCAATGGGATAAGATAAAGGAAATAACTAGCGGCGGCGTCCACACACGTGCTTAGTCACGTGCTTAGTGCTCCGCGCACGCACGCCGTGCACGCTTGCGCTCCAAGTGAGCCTCCAAATTGCCTCCGGCCAAAGGAGCGCGTCCGACAGTCTGCCTTGTGATGTGACCCGTCCGAACAACCATTCATCGTCATCGGGATGAAAGAGCGACGGGAACGGGAAGCGATTTCGCGCCTCGATTGTAATTTGCCTAAATGTACGATTGATGACTGACTTCGGCACCTCGGCACCTCGGCACCTCGGCACATTTGTGTACACACGTGCAACGTATTCAGTTTGACTTTGTTCGAATTAACAATACAACAAGCGATTATCGCGCGATAAGGGTGTATTTGTATGTGCACGTACTTGGACTTAGACACCACGAGACACCACAAACACGCAGTTTGAAGAAGACTAAACAGAATTCGATTAAACTCGACGACGACAAGCCGTTTAGATTCCGTTTCATTCCGTTTTTCGTTTCCGTAAAATTTATGCTTCCAAAGATACACCTACATTTCTTCGTCCAATTTGTATCTGGAAAGTTATTATTGACTGTTATTATTTACTCGTTTACAAATACGTTTCTTACGTTATATAGATTGAGCATCATATCGAATAAATAATCTCGCTGCTTTCATCCGAATTGCAAGTGGCCGCGAAGTACCGCGAAGCGCGAGTGGAAACGAGTTATGCAAATTACGCGGACCAGACTACGAAGAGAATCGACATATCAACACGCATCAATTCCTTCTCCTTCTTTTTCCCTCGCGTCTTTGCGTCTCACGGACACAAAATTAGATATGTTTTGTCGGTCTACTGGAAAACTTTCTCAGCTTTTATTCTCGGCAGAGGAAAGCTGTGTTATCATAATCACAATAGCACACTGTATCAATACAATAGAACAAACTCTGGTGGTATGGTTCTCTTTGAGGACAATGAGGACGTCGCTCCGATTATTTCTCCGGCGCGGGGTGCCGCAATGCCGCTTGATATCGAAGCACTCGAAGACCTTTGACCCTCACATCAGCAAGGCGGCTCGCTACGGTCGCAAAAATTTGCGGCCACTCACTATGTGCGCATGTTTCTACGACTTTATTCAAATTGCACGAACACTTGCGTAAAGCACAGCGCGAGTGACACGACGCTCTCAGCGCACGACGTAACGCGTCCGAGAGAGATCGCAATGCACCAACAATTATTCGCGATTATACATCCGATGCTCGTGAAATTTTTTCCCCCCTAATTTTCGTCAAAGCCGAAGCAATTATTCGTGCGCGACCGTTGCCCGCAACAGGTAATTTCTGTGACAATTTCTGCGACGGCGGTATCATCAGGTAGATCGGGGTAAATCGGTCGGCCATTAATGTGTTATTATTGAGGAAGAAAAAAAAAATTATATATATATATATATATACATATACATATACACCTTTATGCTATGAGAATCATGGAATGTTTGAATACAGAAATATTAGAGCACGTCGAAATCTCAATTTCCTCCGACCGGCCCTCAAGTTCTCTTCGAAAGGATCAGGTGGCTTGTCATGGCGATCATAAGATCAGCCGGACAGCCTTATGCAGTACTTACACGAAAGATGGATTAAAATCCGCGAAAAGCGGCAGATGGAAGAGACAGTAGCAGTGCGCGTTGAATGTACGGTCTAGGCTCACACTGACTCATCCTTGTTTTTTCAGCATCGTTCGTCGATACGTCTCGCCGGGTGTCGGTAAGAAACAATTAATTTATCTAAACAGTTAGGATTCACGTGCTCCTCTTGTGCTCGCGTGTCGTCGTCGGAGTTTTACATCGGTCGGTTAATCAACCAAGTTACAACATGAATTATGTAAGCGAATTCGTTTCGACGAGGGCAAAACAAGGGCAGAGAGAAAGCGACACTCATGCGCGTGTCGCACCGGCGCGACGCGACGTGACGCGACGGTGTCACCAGAGTACACCAGTCCGGTGTCCGTAGTAAGAGTGAGAGTGAGAGATCGGTTGCCGTTCCGCACCGTGTAATCAAGTCGGGAAATGAATTTCCCTCCGGCGCGGCGCATGGAACCAAACAACAGACTTGTCATCCATACCACATCCGCACATTGCGCGATCATTCCGCACCATCGTTCACCACCACGTCGTCGCCCTTCCGGCGCACTGGACAGAGAGCTCTCCGGAGAGAGGAAGAATTGTATTTGAATTCCGGCGAAGGGCGCCGCCGCCGCGCGCGCGGTCGCGGTCAACCGCAGGTTGACCAGGTTGACCGGGACCGTTCGCCGGCGAACGCGCGGCCGACTTCCAAGTCACAAGACCAATGTCGTGTGTGTACTTACTCGTGCAGCTGGTCGGCTGGAAGGCCGCAGGGGCCGAGAGAGAGAGAAGGAGAGAGAGAGAAAGAGAGAGAGAGAGAGAGAGAGAGAAATACAGCCGAGGACTCCGTCCGGCTGAAGTCTAAGCCGCGCACTGAAATGCACGATACGCGCGCGGCCGCGGCGCAACCAGTCTCTCTGCTGGCACAGGCGCCCGACTACGGTCTACGGAAATAGAGGTGGCGCTCGCCTGCCCGGGATTGGTGATCGAGAGAGCCTGCCTTCAGCCTGCCTTTAGACAATTTCTCTCTGCGGGGAGAGAGAGAGAGAGAGAGAGAGAGAGAGAGAGAGAGAGAGAGAGAAAGAGAGAGAGAGAGAGACTGTGTGAACGTGTGCTGCTGCCATCTCCTGGTGGAAATGAATTTGCTCAGCTTTTCCGCGGTACTCAAGCCGCGGTCGGTTAACACGGCTCGGGTGCGATGGTCTCTCCTATTTCCTTCTCCGTGCCCGCGCGCTTTCGCTCTTTAAAACGGAGCTGCTTTTCCACTGCTTTTCCAGAGAGTGCGGGGGAGGGCACTTTTCTCTCCTCAGAGAAAAGAGCGCGAAAGTGGGAAAATTATCGATAATTATAAAGAAAGAAAAAAAAAGGAAATATTTTTATAATAATTAGGAAGGTTTTACGAAATGGTATGTTAACATCATTCATATCTGGAAACTTTATTACGCCACTTTCTAAAAGATCTTGACAATGAGACCGGGCTTCTGTATTATATACTGATGAACATGACGAACGAAAAATTTTGTGTTGGTTTGCGTTTTGGGATAATTGAGTACTCGGAGAAAATTTCACGAGAAAAGAAGAGAAAAGAAAAGCATGATGATGATGATGATGATTCTTTACAAGGTATCGCTGAAGATTGCGCTAAAGATTCAACGTGGACACTACGGCAGTTGTTTGTTTCTCAACGTTTTATTCGTTTGTATACACTTATAGGCCCTAATTAGGCGTGAGCTAGTCCATTCCCAACTTCAATTAACAATTCAATTTTCAATAATAAACGGACCACGATCGGTAAGCCGCATCGTGATTGTCGTGACATACGATGTAGGATCGAGGCGTCCGACAGGATTATGGCAGAGAGCAATGACACGTGCGCGCGCGCGCGGTTTCAATGGATATGTGGTTAACCGCACTGCGGTGAATCACGTTGTTGTTTTGTTCGACAGTGTTCGACGAACAAAAGTCCCGATGAAACGTGTCGAGATATATTCGTTAATTTTTATAATAATTTCTATTTCGTCCGGTGAAGTAAAATTCTCTCTCCTCGTTGTCGTCGTCGTCGTCGTCGTCGTCGTCGTCGTCGTCGTCGTCGTCCTTGTCGCTGTTACGGCGTAATTGTTTATAAATCGTATTGTTTACAGAGTCAAGTATCAGCTAATCGTGTCGGTGTCAGACCATCCGTGTTATAGCCACGTTGTGTCCTCGACAGACACCTCGAATCTACACACACAGTAGTACAGTGTTAATAATATCTGTACACACAATTGTTTCGCCTACCTAAGCTAGCTAATGCAAATAGGCCGTGTAACGCGAATCCGTCGGTGTGAATCGTCGTCGGTGCGCAAATCCGACAACGCGCATCCTTGCTCTCTATGCTCCCTTCATCTTGGGTGAGATTAGGGTGGGCCACCTCTCTCTCTCTAGGATTTCTTTCGCTCTCGCGCGACATGTTTACATTCCGCAGAGCAGTGCCGCAATTCATGCAGCAAGAATGAAATGAAAGCGCGAGAGCCGACAACAAGAGTACATACATAGTACAGAAATCATATATAAATTGACAGTAAATTCACAGTCGATTTTCGACAGTCGTGACTTTGTCTCTGTTGTCTCCCACACCGTTATTATTAATTTGTATTATTGTATTATCGTGATAGTGAGTGACTTTTGTCAAATTGTTATGTTGCTTCCAGGTGTATTTCTGAGGCAAGGGTGGCCGCCCTAATCGTAGCCCTACTCGTATCCCGCAATGGGATTAGATCCGACAACGAACAAACAAACAAACACGTCATCGTATTGATTTTCCCTAATCAAATTCGCCGTACATTAGGAATAGCGTTCCGGTCGCGCGCAGTATCTTCGTTCTTTAAATTAGAAAAATATTTGTGCTCTTACTCTTATTAGAAATTATTAGAAATTATTCTTCTTATTAGAATATATCTTATTAGAAATTATGTTCGTTTCGTCGATTCGTCGATTCAGTTAGCATCAGTGATAAATCAATGAGAATTCCTAACACTTTAGCCGACAATAAAACGCTACTTCGACGTCTCTTCGTAATTTCAAAGATCGCTCGATTCTATTCCGCCGAAAGTCGAATTTCTCTCTCTCTCTCTCTCTCTCTCTCTCTCTCTCTCTCTCTCTCTCTCTCTCTCTCTCTCTCTCTCTCTCTCTCTCTCTCTCTATCTTGTTCTGCCATTTCTCTAATTGAGCTCATCGCTCATCTAGAACACCTTGTGCAATTTCGCGCGCTGCACGGCCTCGGTTTAAAATACACGTGTATATTTATATACATTAGTCCATTATGGTTTCATTTCATATTTAATATAATTTGTATATATTTTTTTATCTTGTATTTATTTATACATGTACGTGGAAGTCAAAAATTAATAAAGTTAAAAAAATATAATCTTCAAAATAGAAACTATAACCGTCTTTCTCTTCAGCTACGGCGCTATTGTGTCACTTATGAGTTTCTTCTTTCTTTCGAAAACGCATCGAACATTACTTTTTTTTTTCTTTTTTTCATATATGCTCTATCAGTACTGCTTACCGTTGCATACTGTTGTTTATCGGCGCGGAATCCTCGGCGCACGTCCGTCTCGCGAAAATCGCGCGTCCACTCGGCCACTCGCCGCCCGTTTTCTCGGGCGCCATTCTCGGGAGACGGCGAGGCGCTCGGAAAATTATCGATTGAGCGTCATCATCTCTCATAAGTTTCCTAACGACTTTCCCGAAAATCGACCTATCACATTCAAGTAAATGCAAACTGACTGAAAACTGGTACAAGGAGAAGTGTTCTCGTTCCTATCCTGTGGTGAGTTTTTATCGTGCTTTCCTCTTTTTCCTCGTCTTAATCGTCCATTAGATACCTTATTATAAATAATTTCGCGGATTAGCGGATGAGCCTCTCGGAGTTCAGCTCCGGCGAATTTCGCGTCGCCGTAGATTCACGTAGATACCACAAGAGTTTAAGTTTAATACACGAAAAGTCACAAGTGTGGTTAATTGGTATACTCGACTCGAATTTTATAATCCTTAACTATCTCTTAAATATTTCGTACACAGGTAGATAATCCTCGGATTTCCCGCCTTCCTGTTCACTCGCAACATTCGCAACAATCGCAACCGATGCGCTTCTTCTCATGCGCGGAGAGGGTCTCGCTTAGCGTATCGAATCGAATAATAAATAATTCCTCGATATTCCAGATTGCCAGATTGAACGACACGCCTCGCCGTTCAATCTTATACGGAGTATTATACTTTGTGACATATGTGCGCATGATGCGGCCAACACGGAACGGCCAACTTGTATTCTTCCGAGAAAACAATCGGCAAGCGGCAGCCTGCAAAACTACTGTGAGTTCGTCTTCAATTCGCAAACGTTTTTAACTTATGAATAAACAATCGTTATTTACAGAGATAGCTAAAATATCGACCACGACCAAGTCATATTTACACACGAATAAACAAAGTTGATCGAATATCGAGGAATTTGTCATAAATACTTCGAGGTATATTTACGAGTAAAGACGATCGAAGGGAAAGAGAGGGAGAGAGGGAGAGAGGGGAGAGAGGTGAGGGAGGTGAGGGAGGGAGGGAGGGAGGGAGAGGGGGGAGAGGGGGGATAGCGAGAGAGAGAGAGAGAGAGAGAGAGAGAGAGAGAGATATCATAGTCGCCCCTTAATTAATTAAGGATCACGTCTACAATCTTATCACGTTCAACGTAAATGCAGGATCACCACTCACACACGCGTTACGGTAAAGTTTTGTCTCTCGCTAATTGTAGCGTGATGTGAGAGTAATTCGTCGTTACAAAACGTGTATACGCAACGTAAATGAGCGTGACGATCGTGATAATAAATCGTTTATTGTACTCGTGTTTCCGGTGAGCATCCCTAAGTAGATTTGTGACCGCTTCGCTCGTGTCGTGTCGCAGCAACGAATTGTGAGTTCCATTTTAACGACGATGTGCGAATTGCGCATGTGCATGTACGTTGTGTGTATACGTGTGTGTGTGTGTGTGTGTGTGTGTGTGTGTACGCCTAAGTGCGATACGCTTAAAATAACGTACATCCCGTGTGACAGCTTAACTGTAAGATCACATAATTATGATTCGCCATCTTCGACTCGAAGATGTCGAATAAAATCCACATGTGTATGATGTATGCCGCACGTGCGGTTGTTCGCAAAACGTTTCTCAGTTTGGGACTTTCCATCCTCGGGACGTTAACCTTCGGTTTGCCGATTCTCCGACGATGAGACAATTGCGACTTTGAATCGCAACTTTCTCAGACGTGGCCGGTGTTTTTCTACTTTACGTTGCTGCTTCGTCTCGTGAGTGCACAGATAGACCGTCTACTAGGTTGAGTGACTTTCGACCGTTCCTCCGACCGTCTAACCGTTTGTCACTTCATTTTAACTTCGCAACTGTGACGCAATTGTGACTCCAGCCCCTCGCATTTAGAGAACAATTTTAGCCGGATATTCTACGTAGCGACGTAATTTCGTGAGTGAGTCGCAATTACGAGACGCGACTCACAAAATCACAAATGTGCCGGGATTGATTCTGCAGGGGGACATGGAACGCCATTGAGACTCTGTCAAGCCACGCACGTTGAACGCAGTAGAAAATATTCCCGCCGATATGATTGATCTTGTAAGCGGGCGTAAAACAGCTTGCAGCTAACCGAACAGGTCGAACTCACCCGGTTATCTCCCAAAGAATACGAACTGAATGTCGCCGAACTGATCCGCTCTGTCGGCGCATATTTTATCTCTTTTGTGCGTTCCGTCTTCAATTACAATTAAGCCGAGAAGAAGAAGAACATATGTAACCTATGACCTATGACCTCCGCGGGACCAGTGCACTGCGGGAGACGTTGACATTTGCGTCCGCCTCGAGCGTTCGTGTTTATAAATAAGCGGCTCTCTCCGATGGCGCTGAACGAGCACGTGCGCGCGCGCGTGTGTGTGCGTAAGTCCTTTTTCGTTAATGGCATTAACGCAGCACGCGACGCACGGGTCGACCGCAGTTTCGGGCGAAAAACAGTCAATTACGCCGAACACAACAATTCCGAAACTCTCCGAGCTCTTCTCTAAATCATATCGTATTGTACTTTCTTTGTAGCGGAGCGATGCGCGTTTCGGTGGGAGTCTTTAACGCCTTCGTTACCGCGCGTTGCGTATATATACGGGGTGGGCCTACGTTCCCGGTGACGGCGCGGGGGGGACCCACGCCCGTCGAACGTCGTCAAACCCGTCGCGCGTTGGAAATATTTTGCAAAATGTAACGTATGTTTTACCGCCGCGCGCGATAGCGTAGCCGCGTCGCGCGCGGCGGAGCGCGACATGGCTGTCGATTAAGCGATACTACCGATAGCTGACGCTCTCTCGTCAAACATCACTTTTAATTAAACACGGCTGGGAAGCTGCCAGTCGTGCCAGCTCGTCCGGCTCGTCATACGGCTCTGGCAGCACGCGGCTACTTTTGGAACTCGGTGAGCGAGCTCAGCAAGCGCGGAAAGCGCGTCGCTGCTGCTTCTTCTCGCTCTAGAAATATGTGTCGACGACGACGACGACGACGATGACGATGTGATGCTACGATGTGATATACGTGTACATCATTAGAAAGTTTAGCAAATAGACTCAAAGGCCAAATAGAATCAAAGGGATCACTTCTTCCGACTTCGCGACTCTCTTCGTCGCGAAAGATTTTGCGCGAGATAACAACCAATTAATTTTAAGGCGCGTCGCTCAACTCCCGCTCAAAAACCTCTCGAAAGAATCTCTCAAAAGGATAAGACTATTTGTTGCGTTTATCGAAGGACTTCCTCACGTTTCTCACTCCTCCCGGGGGGCTTCCCGGGGAGAGGGTCTCTCCTTACGTCTCCTAACTCGTCGTCGGTGAGGTACTCGCACTTTTGCGAGACTCGCGTCTCGCAGCAGGTCGCTGCGAGTCGTCTCCGCCGCCGTCTCGCGACCGTGAGTTTACACGAATTTACCAGAAACATCGCGCGCGACCAGGAACATTCTCTCCCTGATAACACGCGCCCTGTACGAATATCATACACGAGATACAATATTCGCGCAATGTATATGCGCGTGCGAATATTATATATGAATATGAAGCTTTACACGAATTTAGCGCCACTCGACTCGCGCGGCCTGGTCGACGATGCACACAGCTAAGTCGACCAGCTTTGTCATTTTGTCGCGATAATCGCGCTCCGTTCCAGTCCAGTCGCGCGCCGTAGTTTTCGTAAATTCATCGTCTGCCCCCGCGCCGCCGGGGCCAGAACTCGGCCCTCGTGCGCGCGCGACCCTCGACCGCGCGAGCGCAACTTCTTTCGCGGGAAAGAAATTTCCCGCGTAGATCCTGAAACCGGCCCGTTCGATACGCCTTTCGATGGGCGTATATCCCATCGAATCAGCTGGCTCCACCGACGAGAAACAAGAATTTCTCGCTCGCACACTCGACCTTCGACCTTCGACTCTTCGTCGTGGAAGACGAACCTAAACCTAACCGTTGGGTGTGTGTCTGTGTGCTGTGTGTATGTGTTTGTTTACGCGCGCGCGCGCGCGCGTAAACAAACGTGTGTGTGTGTGTGTGCAGTAAAAATAGGCAAGTCCTTATACGCGCGCGCGCGCGCGCTGTTTACATACAGCGCTGCGCCGCTTACTCCTTCTCCTCGGTCTCCTGACTCTCCGCGCCCAGCAGGGTCGACTTGTCTTCCTCGTGCTCCTCGACTTCCGGTTCCTCGATGTTCGGTCGTTGGCGTTTCGACGCCTTGCGTTGCATGTGGCATATCAGGAAGATAATGGCGCTCGCCAAAGCCGCCACCCCCGCCAACAGGACGTACAGCAACACCGGCATCTGTATCGGGCCCTGTGGGTTCGACAAAGTGTTCACATCGCGCGATAACCGTCTTGCCATTAGAGGATGTTAATTTCGCGGCTTGAGGTCGCGGTTAGACAAACCGCTTATCGTCGCATACGTGAGGCGGCTCTAAACTGCGTACTACTATACACCTCCGATGCGTCCAACGATGGCAACGTGGATGGTAATATCGAGAGCCGGATAGATATTTTGTTTGTATTACGCGACAACGCATGCGAAAACATTTGCAGGCGCGCACGGGTCGTCGAAGAAACAAATGGGGCTCGCGCTTGTCGGTCGTCCGCTCGGCAAGTTTCGCCTTAATCTTCCGTTTCGCGTCTCATCAGTTTTTGCTTTTTTTCTCTTTCTTTACGGTTTGAGTAGAAAAAATCCCCTTCATAAATTCCCTTTTGTCATAAACAGATATATTCGTTCGGCCGGAAGATCGGCAGAGTCGAGGAGAACCACTGGAAAGTGTCTATTTAAAGATGCAAACTGGGTCAGCTAAGTCGAATCGTACTTTACTGCGGCTGAAGTGGGTCGCGTGTTTTAGGCGTCTTTTAGATCCCACCACACGACTTGGAAGAATCGCCTTTTCCCTCGGACAGAATTTCCCAGGTTCTCTCTCTCTCTCTCTCTCTCTCTCTCTCTCTCTCTCATATCCCCCTGCCTAGCGCCTGCGTGCCGCCTTGCCTTGTGTAAATAAGCGCGCACGTAGCGATTGTGATTTACGCACGCCGACCGCTTTAATTTCGAGCCGTGCGTCGGGTCAAACGTCGGCGGCATACGTTGGCCTCGCGTGACCACCGGCAGCACGGTACGAGCCCTTCGGCCCTTGTTGTTCGGCCATCGGCGTGATAACCTGCTTAAAGTTCTGATTTGAGCATCAACGCACGACGAGTAAAACGCACGAAATCCGCGATAGAGTGTGTTCCGCTTAAATATATACCATAAATGTTCCGGTCCGAGAGCTCCAACCCTCGGCTCAGCGGCCGCTCCGACGTTCGCGCTCGCGTTCGCCCTTGCGGAATTCGCCTCGATATTTCGACGCGAGACACATAATAATTCAGCGTACATAATCCCCCTTGTATCTTGAATAAAGTGCATATTTCGACGTGAAATCGGACCTCTCACCAAAAACTCGCCCGTCCTCGGGCGAGACGACACGCACGCACGCACGCACGCACGCACGAACACATTAGGTCTAGTAGTTGATTCTTTCCGATGGAACATTTACATAGCTCAGGGCAAAATTTGCAATTGAATTGATATTCTCCCGCTCTTTCACGGCTCTTTAAAGTGTTGAAATTTAACTTTACAAAGTGACATATGTCGTTTGTCGTTTGGCGTTTGCACATAATCTCAAATAATCAGTAGTGTTCACCAATGCGGTATGCGGCCACCAATAAAGAGCATAATTCGAAGCGCGATGCATTTCGCATTTAACGCGTTAAACAAAAGCGCTTCTGAAGCGGCCGAAATGACTTGTGCTGCTTATGGTGAAAATGCTCTGTGATCGATCGATCGATCGACCGCAGCACGTGCCGAAATTGGCTTGAACTTGGTTCTCGAAATGGCCCAGTGATTTTGACCTTTGCAACCAACCACGCCCCCCCGGTCAGCCAAGAGAATTTCAAGACGAGGAGTTGCAAAATCTGCTGAATGAAAATACGGCACAAACACGAAACAAGAACTCGCGGAAAAGCTGGGAGTAAGCCAGAAAGCTATTTGCGATCGTTTACATCGTGGATGAGAAAGAGGGACAGAAAAGAGGGAAGTGGGTTCCGCACGAGCTAACCATTGACAACAAAAATCGCCAATTGACCAACATGTCTTGCTACCTTGCTCGTCAGACAACGAAAAGAAAAGAGGGATTTTTTTGCACAGAATCGTAACTGGTAACGAACAATGGATTATGTATTATGTAAAATTCTAAACGCAGAGAGAGAGAGAGAGAGAGAGAGAGAGAGAGAGAGAGAGAGCAGTGGGGAAACGGCGCGGCGTCAGTGGGCGGCGAACGTCGTCGAGTGGCGAACAGCAGACGTTGATTAGAGATTTAGTGGAAAGAAGAACTTGACTTGTATTCGCGTTATCCGCGCCGCGTTTTCCTGCCTCGTCCCGCGATGCCGCGAGCGATCGATTGAATATTCATCGTTTTCCGGTGATCCTTCAAATCGCACACCTAGGTTCTCGGAAACGCCTTTCTGATTTTCATCGACGACCGCACGCATCGTATGATCGTCGGAGCGGTCGTCGATGAAACCCGCGCCGCTGTTCCTTCCATCCACGGAGGGATGAATATTCATCGGAAAATGTCGTTGCCACTCTCTGTTGTTTCCCCCTTCGATTGCCGCTTAATATGCAAAACGCAGACCGGCGCGGGCGTTCCGTCGATCCGATATATTTACCTGCAACGACCGCACCTGCACTATAATGGCCGCGCGCACGCGTTAAGCGAGCACCGGTAAATATATATGAATTAGCAGGTACTCAAGATCCTATTAATCCTCCGATGCTCCGGCCACCGCGGCACGCGGTATTTTCAATTCCGCGCGGTAAATTAAACACCCCGTACGTGCGCGACGGAGAGGCGGATTCTGATGGGGGCCGCGGCAGCGGGGCGGAGGACCCGTGTTGTAAAGTAGAGCGCATTACCGCGCTGCGCGTTGCGCACAATTTATGAAAATTGGATAAAGCGAGACGCGACTGCTCGCGGCGAGCGGCTGTTAGCCCGATGAGTCCGCTTGAATTTATAACTCGGGTGCTAAAAAGCATCCGGAACGAGATACGGGCGGGAGGTGAGCGTGAGCGCGGCCGGTGAAAAAAATGTTTAGCGGAAATACATTTGGGCGTTCGCGAGCGTTCTAACAATTATTAACTTCCTAGTCGGTCAATTTTCAGCCGGGGCAACAACAGCGGTGGCATTTTTCATTCTCGCTGCGGGAACGCGCGCTCTTCCGGAACGAGAGTCGGAACTCGTCGTTTTTAACGGGGTTCTCTCTCTCTCTCTCTCTCTCTCTCTCTCTCTCTCTCTCTCTCTCTCCTGTCTCTCTCTCTCTCTCTCCTGTCTCTCTCTCTCTCTCTCTCTCTCTCTCTCTCCTCTCTCTCTCCTCTCTCTCTATCTCTCTCCCCCCCTCCTCCCCCGTTTCCCTTTCTCCAGATAAATTCGATCCAGCAAATAAGTTGCGGAAAATGCTATTCCAAGTTTTTCGCGCAGGCGTGAAAAAAAATTTCGAAGCACGCTCGGCAGGATTTACGACTGCTTCGTTTTGTTTTTCTTTTTCTTCTTTCTTTCTCCATTCGTCCTTTTTCTTAATGACGTATGTACGTGCGGTTTCCACAAAAGCTTCAGGATGCAGCGCAAGCATTCTCGCTGGCAACGAGAAAAAGCATTATCGGCTTAAGAGAGAACACGCGGCTTTTATATTGATTGGCCGGCCAGATCGATGTCTTAAGGAGGCAGCTTCGCCCTTTCTCGCGGATTCATTTGCGTGGAAAAGCTCCTTCTTGCTGCGCGAGTCATGGCATGGGTGCGATGACAAATACGCGCGTGTATATATATTTTTTATTATATCACACACACACACGCACATACATGCGGTAGTAAGGTGTGCCATGTGTCATGAGATATTTCGCAGATATTGTTTATATATATAACATATATATATATATATATATATATGTATATATAACGTCACGTCCCCTGCAATTCTCGAGGAGAGAAATAAAAATACGTATCTGCTGTCCCGACGGGGAACGTGCGGGAGAAATAAAAGCTCCGAGCGATTCCTCGTCTACTTTTAGATTCACGAACATGCTCTGCCTATCGATCGGACAGAGTAGTGCTTCACTTTAGGTGTCTTTGGTGCAACGCGATCAATATTTATGCAGGACGCAAAATTTCGATGCCGACGGTCAGACGACCGTCAGACCGGCAGACTCTCGGCGACATTACGAGGGGAATGCGTGCGGAAGCGACGTGTGTGATATATCCCGCGGGTCAAAGCTCGCGAGTAAAAAACGACCGCGGACCGCGGACCGTTCCCATGGAACGCGACAAGGACGAGACGCGAGACGCGAGGAGTCTCGCGTGTCGGCGACCGATCGAAGAGAAGAATGACGGAGCTTTTCCGGCGTTCGTCTGAAGAATAACGAACGTCCGAGGAATTTTCTCCCGAAACCGAACGGGGTGTAAGAGCCGAGGAGGATTTTACCCGAGGGGAAGGGGTGGGGGGGAGGGGAATAGGGACGCGCGGGACGATCGGTAATCGGACAAGGAAGAAGGGCCGTGCGACAAGTGATAATGCCCCCGAAAGGCAATCGGCCGTTGGCCGGCGAATAACTCAAGCGCGCCTGGCGTTGTTGAATATATGTATATATTCGCGCGAGCGATTCGCCACGCTGGCGAAGCATCGATATGCTTCGTCGAAATGGGCAGGAGCTGGCCTTCTCAGCCAGCCTTCTCGAGCGTAATTCCACGAGTAAGCGTGGAGCGCGGGCGTTTGATCGGGAAATAGGAGCACTCACCTTCCACTGGAAGTCGGCCGAGGGATCGCTGAAGAACCACTTCTGGGGCCAGGGCTTTATCGTGCCCTCCGGCGTTTTGAATATCAGGTTCTCGAGGCTCAAGCCGTGCGCGAGAACGCTGGTGGTGATGTTGCCCTTCTTGTACGAGGCTATGCCAGCCTTCATGTACATCTGCGGTATGGTCTCGTTTTCCCGCAGCTTCAGGGTCACTCGCGGCATCTTCAGCTTCTTCGGGCTGCTCGAGACCGTGGTACTTTCCGTCGTGCCGCTCGAGGACGCCCTCGAGGTCGTCGGGAACGCCGAGGACGAGACGCTCGACGACGACGACGACGACGACAACGACGACGACGACGACGACGACGACGACGACGACGTCGCCGTCGTCGTCGCCGTCGTCGTCGTCGTTGTCGTCGTCATCGTCGTCGTCGTCGTCGTCGTCGTCGTCGTCGTCGTCGTCGTCGTTGTCGTCGTCGTCGCCGGAGGCGGCGGCGGCGGCGGCGGCGGCGGTGGCGGCGAGGCGGAAGTCGTCGTAGAGTAATGGACGCTCGTCGACGTTTCCGACGTGCTCGGCGAACGTTGCGTGTTGGTTTCCGGTATGTCTGGAAGCATAGCGACGCATTCTACGACAAGTGCTCGACACAAAAGCGGGACTATGGAAATACGGTGGCAAGAAAAGTTGCTTTCGTTAGAATTTCGCAATTAACCTTCTAATCGTGAGATCGTAAGATTGCGAAGTCCTGATCGGATCAGTTAGCAAGCTCGCTACCGTCCTACGCGGTTTGTCTGTCTATCTCGCAATTGAATTTGCCCCCGAAGAAGAAGTTCCTCAGGTTCCCGAAAGGCACCCTGGCCAGATCAAAGTTCATCCAATCGACAAGTGCTACTCGCGATGTTCAGTGTCTGTAGTTTGTAGTTGCCGCGATTGTAAAATTTCACAACGAAGCGAGGAACCAACCTTGATTGACACAAAGCCGGACTTAATTCTAAGGCTCCTCGAGCCCGTGCATTCGCGTGTTTCATCCCGCGCTCTACCAGCCAGGAAATTATTTAATTCGCACTCGATCGTGGCGTAGCACACCCGTAGACGTTCCTCGGGCGAACGGAGCCGTATAATTTCAGCCGATGATACAGTTGCGAATCGCATCGCAAGATGCGAAGATCGTCCTTCGGCGCCTCAGCGACAACACGTTAGCCCGGAGCGCGTCGCACCAAGCTTCGGCTTTTACGCCTTGTGAAATATTTCGATTCTACGAATTATTCTGGTGGCTGGTGGGCTGGTGGCGACGTTCTCCGGGCGAAAATCCGAGCAAAGTGATATACCTGCTAACGTGGCGTCGTCGACCGCCGCCGCCGCCGCCGCCGTCTCGTCTTCCTCCCCTCGGAGCACCCCGCCAAAGGAGGTCGCAGAGTCCTCGAGGTCTTTCCTCTTGCTGACCTCGGTCGTCGACACCGTAGTCGTAGTCGGGATCCTGCCTCTGCTCTTGTTACTCGCGAGCGCTTCCTTCGTCTGGGCGCTTCTCGACGCGTTCCTCGACGCGTCCGGCTCGACCCGGCTCATCGTCAGCGTTGTGCCGGCGAAGAGATTGTGGTCGTTCTGGTGCATGAGGAACGGCGTGGCCACGCAGGACATCGTGATCAGCACCATCAGGGCGCCTATCGCGTACTTGATGATCCGCAGCTGGGTCTTGCCGGAGGTCTGCGGGAATCCCCCCGACGAGAACTGATCCGTCTGCGGCAGTATCGTGTACTGCAGGCTGGCGTCGCCTTTCCGCACCGTTTTGTACATAATTATTCAACCTGTCGGGACGGATCTTGTTAGAGACGGACGGATGGAAGAGCGATCCGCCGCGCGCGCGCGCGCGCGCGCGCGACCGTGCCGGAAATATATGACCTCCGGTCACGTCGCCGTCAGCGTCTCCTCAGCATTTATTTCCGCGAGCTCTCGAGCACTCTTCAGCGTGGGATTCGGCGCGCCGCGTCGGATCGTCCGGCTTCGGAGCGTCGGAGGTGTTTGATTTTGTTTATCGAACGATAACGACGGAGACAATGAATTTACGGCAATGGATTTACGAGGTTTTAATTGAATTCATCCCCGCCCGCTGCTCGATGCCCGCTGAGAGATGGGGATGGATCTTGATCGAAGGTTTTTATCATCAGAAACAATGACCAAAAAGTGGCTCATACATTCCACGATGTCGCCCGATTCTTGCCCGCGACGCGCCCGCGAGGCAAACCTCGCGGTGAGGCGCATTGGAATTGTCGAATAAATAACACCGAGTGCCGATTGGTCCTGCACTGATTCCTCCCTCCCCCCCCCCCCATTAGAGAGAGGGAGCGGCGCTCCTTCGCATAATAAATTGCAGTTTCGCGCTAATCGCGATAATCGCGATAATGATAATAAATTACCGCGCGCTAGCCTCTTCTATTCTTCGCGTAGCGCGAGCGTGTTTGCACCGATGTTATCCCGCATATCGCGCAATTATTTGGGACCGGCTGGATCTCTGGAGAGGGAAGTTGCGCGACGGATAATATTTCTGGCTTTAATTATCTTCTTCCCTAAAGGATCGACCGCGTAAGGGAAACGCGCGGACGGTAACGCGCCAAGGGGAAAGGGGGAGACGCGAGAGAGTACGTGACGCGTCTCCAGGTGATTCCGTCTCTCGCCGAATCGCCGCGGTGCCAGCCTAGCATCGCGTTTCCATCTCGTACATAATTATTAAGCTGAAGCTCAAGTCAGAAAGAATCTCGTTAGACCAGAGCGAGAAGGGGAGGCGATGAAGCGGTCGATGCGCGTTCGCACGAATGTTCGAGCCAACGGAGGAAATCATCGGCGATATTCAAATGACCATCTTTCCTCCCGCTTTCTTCTTCGTTTATTTTCTCCCGTCTTTCTTCCATTTTCTCTCTTTTGCACGAGAAAGCTGTTCGCGAGATAAGAATATTTAATTAGCTCCGCTAGGCCGGAACTTCCTGAAAACGGTGAGGAGTTAATGAATATATTAAAAGCTTTAATTAAGATTAGTTACAAGGCGACATTTTTCTACGCAAACATCTTCTCGCAAAGGGACAAGCAACTGCATTAAATATGTATGGCACGGGGGAGGGGGGGGAGGGGAGGGTGAGAAAGGGCGGAACGTAGAAATGGTAAGTTACGGGAGGATTCGTACGAGATACGTATCCTGTCCGCGCGCGATGCGACTGTGTGGGGTTTGACGCGATATATCGTAAACATTAGACAGCGCCATCGAAAGCTCTCGGCGCAACAGAAACGTAATAATAAATTAAACGCCGATGCAGCACCAGAGTGCCTTTCTTCGCCCGCGAGTACTTTCGAAATGTCGCACATTAAATGCTCTTTACACTCGTTACACGCGCGTCAAAAGGTCTCGCGGGATTGGACTCTGCGGTGAGCTCGACGTTGCCGTTTACACGCTTCAATCGCGAAACAATGTTTAATTAGAGGCACAAAGCGAAGGCGGAGAGTTCTCTGAATTGTTTGCTGCAAAAGGCCAAAAGGCGCCTTAGCGCCTTTAGACATTTAAAAGCCGCGTTGTTCGACAAGTCCGCAGACGTGGGAGGCCGAAGCTGAAATATACCCGGCTCGCGACCTAACGATCGCGCGACATGCATGGTCGGGAGGAAATCCGCGACCAAACACGAGCCTCGGTCTGCGTCGAGCGTCGAGCGGCGAGAAAAACGTAAGGGCGTAAGGGACCTCTCTCATGATCTCTCGTCGGAGCGAGACATTCTCGCTCGTCCGACGCCGAGAGTGAAAAGAGACGATTCGCGAAACGACACGCGGACATACATTTATAAATAGACACGCTCGCCGACTAGCGATTTTCTTACATTGCTCTACACGTAGGCACGCACACACACACACACACACACACACGTAAAATGTGCTCATCAATCGAAGCAACATCGCGAAACAAGCGCAACGTTGATCGCAACGTCGACGACGCTATTGACAATGCGATGAAATGTACGATAAAATATATATCAGCAAACACTGCGAATGCAAAAACACGCCGGAAATGACGGGCAAAAAGCGGTCAATTACACACACCCCCGCTGAAGCAGCGTCGACGACGACAGCTCGGTCGAAAAATTACCGAGGGAATGATCGAACGAGCGGCAAGAAGCAAACGAACTGCCTCGACGACGCTCGACAGGCTTCGAGCGAGTGAGCCAGGGGATTCTAATCGACGTCGCGGTGTGCCGAGTCCTAAAATCCTGAACAACCCCGATAAAACATCAATAGCCCTTTTCCGAGGCCAGATAAATTATTCCCGACGCGTCCGTCTATTTAGCCGAACTGGTTGGTTGGCTGCCCCTCGCGCGATCGCCGGACGGAGGGAACGGCTTTCCAGGACGTTAGGAGGTGGGCGGAAAAAGGCGAATCGTCGTACTCACGATATGTGTACGGTGTCGAGGGTTTTCCCGTCGTTTTCCCCGCTGGTCTGCTGTGTCGGCGCGTACACGACAATCCGGAACAGGCGAGAACCTCGCCTGTGAGGGAAACTCAGCTGGAAAATGCGCAGATGCGGCCCGACGTTGACGACGACGACCGCGGCGGCGGCGGCGGCGGCGGCGGCGGCGGCGGCGGCGGCGGCGGCGGCGGCGGCGGCGGCGGCGGCGGCGGCGGCGGCGGCGGCGGCGGCGGCGGCGGCGGCGGCGGCGGCGGCGGCGGCGGCGACGACGACGACGACGAAGACGACGACGACGATGACGACGACAGCAGGTTGTGCGCGTCGGCGCATATAACGTTCCGGGCTTCCGCAAGTCGAGTTTGAATTGCACGGACGTCCGTGTGCGGGTTCAAGAGGTCAAGGGTTCAAGGACGAATCGGAAGGTGTCGGACCGTGAACTTTTTCCGATACTCGTCCGTGCCCTCGACTCGGCTTTTAGGCTCAGCATTTCCGTCTAGCATAGTCCATGCACGAAATCGCAATCGCGCGCGGTATTCTCAAACGCGGGTTGTTACGATCGCGAAAAGAGGAAAGGTCGTGCGCGCGCGCGCGTTTACCTCGTTCGCTTATTGTGCAACGCTCTGCTGCATTGGACAAAAATTCTTGAATTTCGCGGATTTCCCCGGTGAAGTGAGAAAACACCAGAAGAGAAATAAAGGAGAAATTCTCCAACTGAAAACACCAGAATGCTGTTTCGGTTAGCCAGGAATCTTAATAATTTACAGCGAAGCGCAATTTTCTATCGCTGCCGGAGTCACTAACGAGTACCGAGTTAGAAGTTGATCGGAAACTTGAACGTCGCTTGTCATTTCGTAACGTCGAGTTTATTGGCTGGCGTTTGTGAACAAGATGCAACGAGACGAGTGTTCAATGACCATGTACGTAGTGGCATTTCCCTGGTCGGGTAGAGTATCAGCGTGAAGAGAGAGAGAGAGAGAGAGAGAGAGAGAGAGGAGAGGAGAGAGAGGAGAGAGAGAGAGGAGAGAGAGAGAGAGAGAGAGAGAGAGAGAGAGAGAGCCGTTTGGTTTTATTTTCGAGGCGCAGTTTCGATGTGGTCGAGGGGTTCAGTTTCTTTGATAACAATTAAAATATATGTACTGTTTTATTCGCAACATATTGAGCGTAACATAATAAGTAGCGGCCAGCAAAGTTTTATCATCAAAGTATAAACAGTGTTCCCGAACACAGACGATCGGGAATACTTCCCCGACGAGGACTTTAATACTTTATTATGCTATAAAAATATATATATATATATATATACTTGGCTTATTCAGACCATAACACACAATATTCTCGAGCCTGCAGTCTACAGTCTGCTGTAGGAACAGATTTGTACGTAACGTGAGACACAGTGTGGAAGACATTGCGATTGTAATATTGCCGCGAGACACGTGCACAACGGAATTCAGCCGTGCACACGGCACGGCTTCGCACGTGCTTCGCACGGCGCGGCGTCTCCGTCTGAGAAGATTCGGAAATGTTTAACATATTTTTCACTTGTCGCAAAAGTACCTTCGCAATAGCCTTATTGCATGGTCGGCATCGCCGTCGAGGACGCGATGTCGGTAGCGTCGTCGGATCTCCACAGTTGAGTTATCGTCTTCGTTTGCGTGTGGAAGTTCACTCCCTGAAATGACGTCGAAATGAGACGACTCGACTGATTATCGCTCGTTAAGAACGTTGCGAACGCGACGTAAGCGAGCTTTATATATTATATGTGTGTAAGTGTGGTGGGTGCACTTACGTATTTCCCGTAAAAGTGATTGTCGCCGAGGAAGGAACCCTTGTTGCCGGTGAAGCTGAACATCGGCAAGGGCACCGGGATGGGAACGTTGATGCCAACTTGGCCCGCTTCGATTCTGTTGACGAATGCTCGGGCTGTCGCGCCGTTCGTTGTGAAGACTGCCGTGCCATTTCCGTACGGGTTTTTATTAACGATGTCGATGGCCTCCTCCGTCGTGTCAACGAACATGCACGACAGGACCGGCCCGAATATCTCTTCCGTGTAACACCTCATCGCGGGCTGCAACGTGTAAAATAATCTGTAATACGTATATATAAACAGTTCATTCTTCTCCCCCGGAATTACATTTTCAAATGTGTAAAATGAGATACGGAGGGTTAGAAAGAGAAAAAGGGGAAAAAGATTTGCTAAACTCAAGGATCAGTCGATGTCGGCACGAGTCAGATGTCAGTCGATGTCAGAGATTTTCCCCGAGATCTGTGCTTCCGGCGGCGGGGGGCGGAAGGGGGGAGAGGGGGACTCCTGCGAACCCACGTTATATCGAGATTCTTTCAAAAACAAAAGACGAGACTGAATCGTTCGATCGGGGGACAGATCCTCCTGCTTTACCTTCACGTCGGTCAACAACGACGGTCCGACGAAGTTTCCGTTCTCATAACCGGACACGACGACGCCTCTTCCGTCGAGAGGCAGCTTCGCGCCGTCTTTAACGCCGCTGTCGATCAGCTCGCAGATTCTCTGCTTCGCCTGCGGCGATATGACAGGTCCGAGATCAGTGCCCGGCACGTGACCGGCGTTTACCCTCAACCTCTTGGCCGCCTGCACCAACTCGGGTATCCACTCCTTCGACCTACCCACGAAGATCGCCACCGAGAGCGCCATGCATCGTTGCCCAGCGGCGCCGAAAGCCGCGCCGGTGATCTGCGACAATGTCTTGTTCTTGTTCGCGTCCGGCAGTACGATGCAGTGGTTTTTAGCACCCATGTTGCACTGCACCCTCTTGCCGTGCGCGCTGCTCTGCCTGTAGATGTATCGGCCCTGCAAATTTCGCACAGTTTCTCAATCGCGTTCCGTAATCGCGTGAGATTTGCACTTTGTTACTTCACAAAATGAGAGCAAAATAAATGTGTGAAAGCGGAGGATTCTCTCGTTTCTCTTCTCTCTCTCTCTCTCTCTCTCTCTCTCTCTCTCTCTCTCTCTCTCCCTCTCTCTCTCTCTCGAGATCGAGAGAGAAGACGCGCTTTTGCGACTCGACGACTCGAGATCTCCGATCTCACTTCGTTCTCGTCTTAGCTTACCGCCTGGTCGGAACCGACAAACGAAACAGCCTTGATGTCGGGGTGCTCGCAAATGAAGTTCACAGTTTCACGTTGGCCGTGTATAACGCTTAGAAGGCCAGCTGGGGCGCCGGCCTTCGTGAAGAGATCAGCGAGGATCATGGACGCACCTGGTACACGTTCCGACGGCTTCAGGATAGCGGCGTTCCCGCACGCCACCGACATCGGGAACGACCACAGCGGTATCATGGCGGGGAAATTGAAGGGACAAATGGATGCGGTAATACCGAGGGGAACTTTGTGCGAGACGATGTCCATGTCCGTGGCGATGTTGGTCGTGGACTCGCCCATCTGCAGCATCGGGATCGACGCGCACGCATCGACGACCTCTGCGGGTGCACAAGAATCAGCTGTTAATCGAGAGTTGTCGACATTTTCGCACATCTCATCGTCGATTCTCCCGAAATCTATCCATTCTCCCGAAATGGTCTGGGCATCGACTCGAAATATTGCCAATGTTACTTACCACCGATCATACATTCTAATTATATTCGCGAGCAACGTGTTATTTTAATTAAAGTATATATGCTTTTTTTCTTTTTTTATAAAATTGACGTTGGAATAATTATACTTCTTTGCCTTGTCCGTCAACTTTAGCCGGTCTACGAGAAATTAAAAAAAAAATATAGAAAAAGATACTAAATATTGAGTTATCCAATCAATTAAGAGGAAGATGTACGTACGAAGACCTCGAAGCACATCTCCTTCCGCGTCAGCCATGGTTTTCCCATTTTCCCTCACAATGTTCCTCGCAATTTCTTCCTGAGGATCAACAAATGTCTTTAGTGTACATGTGATTTAAGACAAAAATATTCCTTCTTTGGAAGGAAAAAGATTCACGGTCGGCAGTTTTCCGGCAGTTTGATACGATACTGCGTTTATTTCATTATCCTGTCCTTTTGGGGGTTTGTAATATCTTTAAAGCGAATACTGACTGAGTGTTCTCGGATCAGTGCTTGATATTTGAGCATCAAACTTTGCCTCGTGAGTACGCTGGTGTTCCGCCACTTTTCGTACGCTTTTCGTGCACTCCGCACGGCACTCTCCATCTCGTCCTGCGTACATTTTGGAGTTCGACACAACAGCTGATTCGTCGCAGGGTCATGGACATCCGTAAATTCCGTGGCCTTTGATTCTACAACAAATGCTTCGATGTACAAAGCTACATAATTTGTATGTAGATTATGTCATTGGAATAATATGAAATTGCTTTTACGTAGCAAGAGAGAGAGAGAGAGAGAGAGAGAGAGAGAGAGAGAGAGAGAGAGAGAGAGAGAGAGAGGGAGGGAGAGAGAGGGAGGGGGAGAGAGAGAGAGAGAGAGAGAGAGAGAGAGAGGAGGGAGGAGAGAGAGAGAGAGGGAGGGAGAGAGAGAGAGAGAGAGAGAGAGAGGAGAGAGAGAGGGAGGAGAGAGAGGGAGGGAGAGAGAGGGAGGGAGAGAGAGGGAGGGAGAGAGAGGGAGGGAGAGAGAGAGAGAGAGAGAGAGAGAGAGAGAGAGAGAGAATGGAGTTGAAATTACAAGTTGCAAATTCATGTTTAACATTGCACACTGATCATTTAGATCAAAGAAAACATGGAAGTTCGTGAAATAAAATTTGATTTGAATTTCACAAGCTTGACATTGCAACAATTACCCACGAATTGTCCATCGATGTACATTTTAACCGTTGGGGCGGCATTGCTGTAGGACCGGCTGATGAAACGTACCTGAAATTGTAATATTAATTAATTTATACAATTATCACATCGCACGATACTTTTTAACGATAATCTGTATTAGCGTGCGAAACGGATACGGAAATCATAAGAAAAATCAACAATGTGATTTAAAATAATTTTCAAAGCTCAACAACGATCTGACAAATATATAAAAATTTATCAGGCTGATAAATATTTATTATACTCTTTCCTCTTTCATTAATTGGCTGAATTGATCGTTTAATTTTATTCTGTTTAAACTAAAAATATCAGTGTCCACGAACGTTCTCGTAAGATTCGTGCGATTCGAATACGATCGCATCGATAAATCAATGAAGTTTCGTTACATAAAAATATCTGCATGTTTTTAAATAGCAAACAAATATTTGCGCAAGTCTTCAGTTTTGGATCAGCGAGAGTAGATAATTCAATCGGCGCCGGATAAACGATTGTTTAGCTTTCGCGTTACATGAAGTTATAACGCCTTTATGAGCACAGATTGGTAATAACTTCCTCTCTGTCTTACGACTGTCTTACGATTGTCTCCGAGGGTCAATCAGGTCAAAAACGCGATTGCCACTTGAAGAATGCGAGACACAGTGTTCAGTGAGCGGTAATGAATTCACCATTAACGACTGAAGATGTCGAATATGTGCCTTTTGTGCAAATGTACGTGGCAAAATTTTTTGAAAAAAAATATATTTCCCGCAAAAGTATATATATTCGTAAATTTATCGACGCATTCCGAGTATACTCGAAATAACGAATAAAAGCTAAAATACTTTTAAAAATTGTTTTTAGTTCTGTTTACTTTTTATATATTTTTTTTTATTTGGCACACAAACACACACATCGATGATTTATTACACTTGAAGTTTATACATGTAAAAAATAACACATATACAACGCGTGATTTCTGAAAAAAGAGAAAAAAAAGAAAGAAAAGATCGCAGTTATCAACCTCGAATGATACCGCGACTTTCTCATATTAACTTTTAAGGACGCGGTTCTGCCACATTCGCAAATGAAATGTATCAGTGGTATTATTAGCAACGCAAACATGTTTTTCCAGGGTATTGGATTACGTATGCGTTAGTTATTACATATGGTCGCAAGTTTTCGATGAGGTCGTTATCTTATTCAGATAACATTTGTGAAAGGTGATTTTAACTGCACCGCGCGCGCGCGCACACGCACGCACACGCACACACACACACACACACACACACACACACGCACGCACGCACGCGCGCGCATACACACACACACACATACACAGGAGGATTTCTGCAAGAAAATACTGAATTAAATGCATGTTTAATTAAATTTCAAAGCTATATTAAAGAATACTTGTCGTTCCACGAGCGAAATTTTATAGTACTTTTATTATAATTTTCAATCTAAAGCTCGACTCTTTTTTAAACACCGTCACGCGCGACATGTGCCAATATGATCACGTTGTATCACGGTAATAGCTGTTATAGGTACAAAACATGATAAAAAAATTGGTAATTTGTTCAAGGACACACAAGAGCACATTGGTTGTTCGGTTGGTTAGTTACAATTAATATTAATTAATCAAAGCTATCGACACGAAACAAGTGGCAAAGTAAATGGTAGGTGTAAGTTTGCAAATTCCTCCGAATTTCCACGTCGATCGACAATAATAAAGATTACACGACACTTTCGCGGTTAACATCGCGGTTAAGTCGCTTCAGAAGAGCCTCAGAAGAATTCCGAATGCGTGCGTCGGAAAAGGAGAAAGAAATCACGTGACACGTGTAGCAAAATCGTGCGTAGCAAAAAAGCGCAATTCTGGCGCTGCGCGGACGAAATTTTGCACAGTTCGTCGGACGCCCACTAGATGGTCCTATACCCTGCGTTAATGCATTTAAAAGAATGCACTGCCTGCAGAGCAGAGCTGCAGCTGTGGCGCAGGAACGATTCTCGAGGAGCGACGGCGAAATGACGGTGAGCGAAACGACGTACTATTGGAGCGCACCGGATGGCGACGTCGTACCTCACACTTGGCGATTCTCGCGAGGAGCGACATGCTTCCGATTAATACGCTCGGCGGAGCCGCTTGTGTAGAACTGAACGAAAAACGTGTGTCGCAGAAAATGGCCTTGCGTCTATTTGACGTAGCGCACGATGTTTTCCGGCAAGATAGTACGCGGTTATTTACACAATGCCTCGCGTGCGATCGATATCTCCTCAGGAATGTAAAGCGGGATTTGTTCCCCGGAGTTTTCGGTGCTCAAGATGTCGCCACAATGTTGCGCCGACGCGAGCGACGGGGCTTCGCTGCTAAGAAAGCGAGAGATGACCGACGGTGATCTCGTCGTCGGCCTTAAACAAATCTGCCTTCGATCGGAGCCGATCGAGGAGAGGAGCTGGGCTCGAACAATTGCCGTGCGAATTCAGTCGAAATTGCCTCCCATCTGCTCGATTTCATTCGACGGACGCGACGACGAGACGCGAGTCCGTCTTTCTCTTCGTTTTACTCGTTACACTCGTCGAATTTTACACGCAGAGAGGAATATTGACCGATTGTGATTAACATGAAATCGATTTGCGAACTTTATTCTCGTCACAGCGCAACGCGACAACGCGACTTTCGTTTTTCGCGAAATTTTCATTAACGATCAATGATCATTTTCTGGTTGGTTCTGTCGAATTGAAACGATGAGAAGAGAAGAGAAGAGAAGAGAAGAGAAGAGAAGAGAAGAGAAGAGAAGAGAGTCGAATTGATCCGCTGTGGCGCTTGTTTAGACGTAAAGGTGTCTAAGCAAGATCTTAAATCGATATAAACGGTGCCTTTGGCTTGGCGACCACCAACTGTTGGCAACTTGTTAGCTTCGACGGTACGAGTGAGTACGTGAGAATTTTATTCGATTCATGAGATGTCACCACAATGTTGCATCAAATAGCTGACCGGCGTCGATTTTGTCATTCATCATATAATAAATAAGTGCGAGTCTGCTGCGTTACGTTTTAACGCGTTTGCGCGTTAAACTTTTAGGCACGAGCACTTTTTTATAAATGTATTGCAATACTGCGCGCGTGCGCAACGGATCTAATATTAGCGATATCTCATGCACTTGTACGACAAGGCAAACGACTACATATTATTATGAAAATTGCAGCGTAATTGTTGCCCGATAATCACAAAGATTTGCATATGCAAATATATACGCTTGAGCTATCGTAAAACTAGAGAGACAACGCAACAATTTATAAGTAAGTCTCCGGTCTATTTACCAGCGACAGCGATAAAAGTCGCTTTACTCAAGTCAAGAAGAAGCGAAGAAGCGTCGACGAAACGTCTTAAGATTCGTCGCCTTCAGATCACACTGGGAGATTCACAAAATTCGTATTTACGTAATAAGCGCTCGCGCTCAACGACATAATTTACAACGCAAGCGGGTAAAAAATTTTATAATTAAAAAAAATGTACGATCTATCGTATCAAGGTAACAAACAATACTCATCTCGTTGGGATCAACACTTTACGAGCTTTTTTGCGATGCTCGTGTGATCGATGCCGAAAGTAAATATCGCAGAAGTGCGGCGCTCGCTTCGCTCGCTCGCTCGCTCGCTCGCAAGTTCCGCGGCGGGGCGGGACGGGACGGGACGGGACGGCAATATGGAACGCGCGTGGAATATCGAAGGCAAGAGCCGTCGATGATTGCCGCTCATGCGTATCACGTGATTATATGAAACTCGATTGGCGGACGATTGGAATCAATGAAGTTCTACTACCGTTATGCCATGTCCGACTGTCCGCCGAGGCGCGTCCAGCGCGCGAGCCCGACCCCCAGATTTATTTACGCTGACGCTGACGCGTAGCTGACGCGCGCGGGCGGGGAAAGCACTGGAAACCCGGGGCACTGGGAAACGCAATATGTGCCTCCGATTGGTGCGGCAATTACAGCCGATAATCGAGGAACGTTACCAGAAATCTTATCGAACGCCGACGACGGCGCAAAGGTCCGGCTAAGCGTCAGCTTTCTCCATACAGACGGATCTCGGCGACACTCTGATTGTGAGACTGTGACTCTTCGACACTCCACAATCAACACGGGCTAATTTAAAAGTTTCTCCTGTGCGGCTGTGAGGCGCCACTGTGAGCGTTTGCGCCAACAAATAACCGCCATCCAGAGAACTATCTCGCCCTATCTCGCCTAGTGCGGTGAAATGGAACGCCGCCCGCTCTGGAGCCGATCTTCAATTTGGGCCTCGACCGAAGACCAATTTCGATTCTTCTTCGATTCTTCTCTCTTTCTCTACATTTTCTTCTTCGGATTTCATTCGTTCTTCGCGATTCTTCGTTCGTCGCCGTCGCGCGCATGCGTCGTCCGCATGTGTCCACATTTCGTGTGTCAAATTTTCTCGGGAGTTTCTTTATTACGTTTTACGACGACGACGACGACGAAGAAGAAGAAGAAGAAGAAGAAGAAGAAGAAGAAGAAGGAAGAAGGTGGTGGTGGACGAGGGCCGCTCGTCCAACTACGCAGAAACACTCGACTTCGACTGTCCTTTCGCGGTGGTACTAATTGTATCTTCGCGATATCTTCGGGGCAGGATCTACAGCAGGTTTTTCTCCTGTCATCGGACAGCTTGCCTTATGCACGAGCGGCCGCTCGCGCAATCAATTACACATCGCGGGCCGCCGATAAATGCGGCTCATTGTCGCGACTTGCTAGATCACGAATGCGAGATAATCGTGCACAAAGTTAAAACCGCTCGCGCTTCCTGCTCGGCGGATTTCGCATGCACGCTCCGCTCGACGTGTGTGTCACCGTTCAACCTTTGAACGCAGCTGTCAGTGGAATAATAAAAAGGTGGAAAGCAAGCGAAAATATGTTTCCGCTAAATGGGGGGATCGGCCCGTGACCTCTGTGACATAACGCGCACGGCGCACGGCGATAATCTCCTCGGCATTTTTAGCCACTCGCGAAACGCGTCCCCGGTCGCATATAGTTGTTCTACGCGGCGGTACACTACCGCCGGTAGTTCGCGTTTTCGCGAGATCGGGAGATAATACTCCGAATCCGCTCAGGTTTCTCCAACCGCGGCACTTTAACTTTAATTAAATTGGATTGTCATCGTCATCGCGCTCGACTTCGACCCGCCGCGTGCTTCCACTTCTCTCAATGGCTCCCGCGGTAACGGCCGCATCACTGCGAGTGATATCGCTCGGAAAACAAGTGCGTTTGTCCATAAAAATAAAAAATTGATAAATTTCGTCACGTGTTTCGGAGGCAGGAAGGCATCGCGCTGGTTGTCTCCATTAAAAAGAAAAGAAGGAGAGAGGAGGAAAAGTAGAGAGAAAGAGAAAGAAAGAATCGTTGGGGTTTGCATATTGCAGGAGTGACACTGTTTACAAAGAGACCATCTGTCCTCTTAAACACGCGAGTTCTTCCGCGCTGATAGTTTTAATAATTCATAATCGGGCAGATCACAGACAGAAATCATTTTCTGTGAACGAAACTTTGTTTCGTTTATCGGCAGATAACTAATGTTATGTGTTTCTCTTTGTTAAAATTTGCAGGAGATTTCATTTTTAAAGTTCGATGCTTGATTAGAATGAAATGTAATGGTCTGGATGTCCTAATTGTATCTATATACGTGTAACGTTATAAAAATCTCGAGACACAGGGATAAGCAACGACTTATATGGATATCTCGTGGGGAGGAATGTCCAAGGATTGTCCAAGAATCACCAGGGGACTGAATGTTAGTGATTCAGTGATATCCGGAGAGACAGAAACTGGACTTTCCTCGGGTTACATGGACAGATTTGATTATTCTCTTATTTTATACAGTATAGAAATATTCTACACAACATAAATAAAAATAGCACTTTTCACGAAACAGCGAAATAACTCGAACCGTTTTCACCTCGTATCTCGTGCTTATCCCACGAGCGGCTCTCGCGCGTAATATTCGAGTAAGACGGCAAACACATTGGCTGGCACGGCGCGCTTTATCTTTTTTCTCTCCCTCCGGAGTGAAGCACTCGTGTTTTAACGAGCATTCGTATACGAAACGAAAGTGCGCGACGTTCGTCGCGCCGGCCTCGCGTCTATTTCTACAATTCGCGCGACGAGAGTTTCCTGAGCGCCGGATTGTGTAAAGATTATGTTATCGGACCTCGGCGAGGATATCGTAATACGTTTTGTAACCGGCCGTTCGACACATTGAATATTAAGCTGACTGCACAACGCGAACCACTTTGCAAATTAAACAGCCTTCGTCGGCACGTATATTAAACGACCGTCTCGCCGGCACGTATTGCACTTGATGAACTGAGAAGACATTCATCGGCGGTACGACGGAGACGGACGATCGCCGCGACGGTCCTTCGCGTCGCGGACGCGAAACGACCGAAGCGAATATGTGTATTTTTTAACGCTCAAGTGTAATCGCAGTCGTGCGACAGTCGACGACGATAGCCCGCGACTCGCTGACCGGACAATAATTTCGGAGCCGAGAAAAAAGGTTCTCGTTTCCGGGACGATTCTATTTATAAGGAAATGTGAAAGTCCGTCCGTCACCTATCCTAGGCGGAGTAGAAAGTTTTTTCCTCCCTTTTTCGAGCCAGTTAGAGGCTCTCTCACGTGGATGTGTGTGTTTCCCCGAGTCACACGTACATTCTCTCTCGGTGTTGCCTGTGTTGCCGGTGAGCATTGATATCGATGTGCTCTACGTCGCGCGATTAGAAATCGGACACGCGTGTACATCTCCTCTCTCCCTCTCTCTCTCACTCTCTCTCTCTCTCTCTCTCTCTCTCTCTCCCTCTCTCTCTCTCTCTCTCTCTCTCTCTCTCTCTCTCTCTCTCTCTCTCTCTCTCTCTCTCTCTCTCTCTGTGTGTGTGTGTGTGTGGCACACCGCGCGTGCGATTCAATTGTCAGTGGGAGAATATAACGCGCGGATAATGTCGAATCACATCGAGGAATGCTGCTGTTGAAACCGATATTGACAGGATATCCCATCACGTGCGTCACGTCCGTGTTTTCGCCCTCGTTCCGTTTCGTTTTATTTCCAGTGTTACTTTGGCTATTTCACACAGCGTTTCAGTTGCACTCTACCGATAACAGACTCCTTATCGCGAAAGCGCAAACTTTCTCTATTGCCTCAACTAACAATCTTTCCGCCGTGGGAGAGGCTTCGCGGTGTACGCGCGGTCAATATTGTCTCTCGAAATATATA